AGAGAACAAAAGAACATTTCAAACTGAAAATTTTAAAAAAGGTAATAACTTTTGTTTATTTGCATGAAATCGATTATCCAATTAGCCCATTAAAATTGAATTCTACACTGAATTTTGAATTGAATTTTGAAGTTTATTTGAACGACTAGAGACAATATGTCCTTTAAACTTAAAATATGTAAACCAAATTTAAAAAAAACATGATGAACAATTAACAGAATTTTGAAACGTAACTAATTATTCAGGGTTGAAATGTTCGGATGTTGATACGGCCCTTCATATACTGAAGACAAGATATTCTTTACGTAAGTGTAGGACCTTTTCTTTGTTCTAAGTCTTATATTTTATTTACTATAAATTCTATGAACTTGTTTTTAGTTTTATATCCTGTCTCAATAAAATATTTGAAAATAAAATTATATAACTTTACTGAACAGCGGAAATAAACTTTAAAAGATTCCAAGTCCGATTAGGTTAGAACATTGGATCCGATTATTCTCACTTCTGATTTACATAATTATTATTTGCGCAAAATCAGAATTAGTTTCATAAATTTGAATTTAAACATTGAATCAATATATACATTGTTAATTCAGCCAACTCATCTTATCCAATGCTGGTCAACTCATTTGCCAGTTAGTTTTTTATGTGATGACGTTGATAACTATATTTTGAATTTTATGAAATAAAAATTTTTAAGTACGTGTGTTTGTAGGTGTGTATTTCTGTGTGTGTTTATAGCAAAAATCATCGTGTAATACTAATACTTCGGTATTTTCTTTAAAAACAGCGAACTCATTTTGGGCTCCTCACAACATAGATACTCCATATTCAAAAACACTGAGAGGTAATATTGTTCATCGTTATCATTTATAATAAAATGGTTATTATTCATAATGAAATAATTATTATTCATAAGAAAATAGTTATTATTCATAATGAAATAATTCTTATTCATAATAAATAGTTGTTATTCATAATGAAATGATTATTATTCATAATAAAACAGTTGTTATTTGTAATGAAATAATTATTATGCATAAATATCATTCCTTACTCGTTATACTTTTGTGCAAAACACCCACACACAACGGTGCGTTTGCGTACACTCAAATTTCGCAATCACGCGCAAGAATTTAAGTCGTACGTGTTCGGCGTGTGACAATATTCGTCTTTGACCGACTTAGTCTCGAGCAGACAGTACTCGAACCGGGTTGTCACGCAATAGAAAGCAAGACGTGGCACTTTATTATCTGAGCTAACTTTGCCAACTAGTTTTTGTATATATTATTATCATTACAATTGTCTTTGTAGTTATCCTTATTATTATTATTACCTTATCCCGTTGTTGTCGTCAGGTGACGTTTGTCGATCAACTCCGAAAATAATTAATATTCTCGTAATGTGACGATTAAAAGTTAAACAATTGACCTCTAGAAATAAGAGAAGAAGTGGAGCTGAAAAATAAGAAACTTGCCGAACTAACGAGACTGATATTGAAGAGACAACAAGACATGATTGCAGAAGAAAATAAGATTCTAGAAGCCAAGCGAAAAAAGCAAAACGAGGAAGAAAATAACAACGTCAGTGAAGATATCACACTGGAGGCCAATGCTTCAAAACAAATCACGAAGAGTGACAAAGTAAAGCATTCTAAAAACCCAATAAGGAGGGCACTGCAAACTGTCAGAAGAAAATTTTCCAAGCAAGACAGATCTAGAGGTAATTAAAGTCTCGTGATTATTTCATTAAACTAAGGTGATTTAATTTTGTTGAGGTTATTTCATTTCGTTGAGGTCATGTCATATAAAAAGTTTATTAGTTTAAATGTCCAAATTTTATCTAGAAGTAGCTTACATGGATTTATTTTATAAAAAATAGTTTGTCGTTTAATTGTCCGTCTGCTAAATTTTTCCGACGATAATGACAATGAATCTTCAAAGTTTAGATATCAAACGATATAAAAAAAAGAGAATTTTATTGAGTTAGTCTAACGACGTATTTTTAAATGAATTCTTAAATCAATAAATTAAATAACAAATTATTGTTAGTGTCCGTCTATGCATTTTGAAATATATATTCCTCTTTTCATATTTTAAATAGTGACCATTAAAACAGTAACTAAGAATGGTTCATTACTTTTGAAAAATTTTATAATGTAAAAATCACTGTGAACATTGTTTTTGTTTTTGAAATTGCCATCCATCAATTAATTTTTTCAATTTTAAAAAATAAATTATTGCTATAGCCGACTCGCAAGCATTATTTGATTAAAAAATTGTACTATATCTTATTAATTTTACGTGTTTATTTGTTCTGATTGTGTAACAATGTTTTTTTTAGTTTATTAACCTAAGAATAATGGTGACGTTTTATAATTGACTAAATATATTATTTTTTCATCGTTTCGCCATTTATCTATGTTAGTTGTTAATGTTATAATGCTACAATTAATTTCATTGATTGTAATTATGTTAATTTCCGTAAGCTTAACATATATTTGTACATATTTGACTTTTATTTACATTTGGTTTGTAAAAACTGGTTAATTGGCTGTTTGGATGGCTGGCTGGTTGGTTGGCTGGTTGGTTGTTGGTGGGCTGGTGCGCATGTTAAAGACAGGAGATATTTCGAAAATTTCTAAAAATAATTTTCATCTTTTTAGAAATTATATGATCTCCTGGGTTTTGTATTAAATATGTTAGCGACTGAATGAACTATTATTCCTAAATAGATGTTTTATATGTATGTTCATCAAATTTTTTTTATGTTCTTCTGTTCTGAGAAAAATCATTCGCTGTAAATATTCAACGCTATAATGCCTTTTTATTGATGCTCTTGTTTAAAAATGAATAAAAAAATTTAAAGTAGAGAAACCATAGGCGTCAAGAAGAAAAATAAAACATTACTAACGAGGGTTTGTCGTTGGTTCATGATAAATGGCCGATGGAGCATGTGGATGAGTAGCGAGTGAAAAGCAAACATTCATAACAAAAGATCATTGGAATAAAAACATGTTGAATGAATATTAAACATTTCAAAGATTCCATTATAAGAATTTATTATTTTAAGTTCGTTGGTCAAAATTTAGATAATTTTCGTTCGGCTTTAAGTTTTCATAATTATTAAAACAACATTTCATTTATTTTTAAAAAAGTCAAACTAAATAATATAGAATAAAATTTTTACCGAAAAAAAAACGAAAAACTTCAGATTTGCAAGTTCGTTAGTTTTATTTCTCATGTTCGTCGATCATAGATCATCTAGAAATGGTCTTCGCTTCACAATGAAAGTATTTCCATTCCACAAATTCTTCAGTGTCATGTCTCGAAATTTAACTCGGTGTTCTAAGTTCTCTAACATGATGTTGAATCTTTTCTCATTGTTCTTGAATGACTTCTCTATCTTATCGTTCTAAATTAATTCATTTTGAATATTAAAATTAGTTTCTGCGGCTTGAAAATATTTGAAAAATATGATTTTTAACAAATAATGAAATATTACGAGGCCAATAAAAAGTTTTACAAAAGAAACGAATATTTATTTAAACTTTAACTCTTTGCTACCTGTATCTCAATCTGGTTTCAGACCTGCTCACAGTACTGAAACTTCTTTACTCAAAATACACAATGATATCCTTCTCTCTAGTGACAATAGTAATCTTACTCTTCTTCTTGCTCTTGACTTTTCCTCGGCTTTTGATACTGTTGACCATATTATTCTCTTGAGACTGCTGCATCATTCTTTTAATATTACTGATTCTTGTCTATCTTGGTTTTCTTCTTATCTCTGTAATCGTTTTTCTTCTGTTGTTCTCAATAATTCTACTTCTAACTCCTCTACTCTTACTTTCGGGGTACCTCAGGGTTCTATCCTCTTCTATTTATACTCTATACTTCTGAACTACCTCGTATTATTAATAACTTTTCTTTCTCTAGTCAACTATATGCTGATGATTCTTACATTTATACTTCTTTTCCTCCATCTAATCTCAATAGTGTTCTTCATAATTTATCTCTATGTCTTTTTTCAATTATTGCTTGGTCTGACTCTATGTGTCTTAAACTAAATCCTTCTAATTTTGAATTAATTTGTTGTAATAAATCTAAACACTCTATTACTATTCCTCCTATTATCTTACCTGATTCTAAAAATCTTAATGTCTCTCATAAGTTTCGTAGTCTAGGTTTTATCTTTGATTCTACTATGTCTCTCTCTTCTCAGATTAATAGTGTTGCTAGAAGCTCTTACTTTCATCTACGTAGAATAAAAAAACTTTTGCCTTTTCTTGATAATCCTACTCTTCTCCGTCTTGTTACTTCGTTAGTCTTATCTAGGATTGATTATTGTAACTCGCTCTACTAAGGTCTTCCTGATTCTAAACTCTATCCTTAAAGTAAAGCTTTTAACTCTGCTGCTCGTCTAGTTGCTCGTGCCCCTTTCTTTTCTCATATATCTATCTCCATATCTGTTCTCTTGCCCTGTCTACCTATAAAATATAGAATAATTTTTAAAATTTGCACGTTCATGTATAAGTCTCAATCTAAATTATTTCCTAAGTATTTATCAGATATATTAATCGAACCTAAACGCCCCGGTTTACGATCGTCTTCTTCTTCTCGCTTTTTCTTAACTCGTGTTAAACACTCTTTTGCCAAATCTGCTTTTGCTTTTTCTGGTCCTTTTCTATGGAACTTTCTATCTACTTCTCTGACTACTTCTCTATCACTTTCGAAGTTCAGAGCGGATTTCAAGACCCATCTGTTTTCAAAATTCATTGAGGAGCGCTGTTGGACATCGCGGAAATAGCGCTTTATAAGCTAATTGATTGATTGATTGAGTTGTTGAAAGTTTAATTCTGGAATCCACATTGAAGTAGCAATCAAATATGCGAAAACTACGATAAATTAGTTTCTAAACCTTTAAAATTATTTTTTAGAAGTGTCCTATTCATTAACATGAATAAAGATAGAAAATCTCAATCAATGTTGGTTGTTTTTAAAAGGAAAAACGTTTACAAAAATGTTTCATCTCATACATTTAAAACACTAGATCAACTAAATAAAAGCTAACAATTTTATGAAAGTGTAATGGGATTTAGCAATGAACGTTGAAAACATGTTGAGGCATAATTTGTGTAGTACTGTTACGAACTTTAGCCCCTAAGCACAAGCACTATATCATTCGAAAACAATACATCACTGAACATAGTTAAACACTGAGTTCAAAAAATGATTTAAACGTGTAATACAAAACAAGAGAAAAAATGAAAAAAAGAAATTGAAATTTATTAACTTACATGATGGCTAATGAATAGTTGTGGAAAGGAATTGCGAAATGATTTAATTCAACATATTTTATCACAGCATGGTTCGATATAATCACCAATTTGATTAGTTTTTTAACTATACTGACTGGATTGGTGTAAAGGGTAAGATGTGTAAACAACTAAGTTACAGCGTCATTAATATTTAAAACATTCATTTAAAAAAATCGCAAAAAAAACCAATGACAATTCAATGAGATATAATGTTTCGTTCAAAGTGCTTAATACGAAATTGCTGAAAGTGATTCATTGTAAAAATTCTTATAAATATTTTATCATGTATATTATCTGAAATACACTAACATCAGGCATTAGTTCCCACATATTATCAGCGTTTTGGTAAAACCAGAGGTAAAAAACTGGATCACTGGAGGGAAATGTTTTTTCTGATCTGCTTATTTCCAAAACCTGTTCGCCATCGTCCAAGGTCGCCTCCATTTTATTAAATGAAATGATCATTTCGTTGCCTAAATATTCTCTCAGATCAGATGGTGTCTGAAATTAACATTCTCAGGTTATTGCAACATAAAAAGAACATTTAACATTAAAATGTATAAAAATTAAGACTACTAGTAAATTGAACTTTGTATATGTATAAACAATTATTAATGTTTTATATATATATATATATATATATATATATATATAAAGGATTAAGACGGTCATAAAAGCAATTATTGATGAAAATCACAGCATGTTCGGCGTTAGTTAACTTCCAATCTAACTTTTCGATTTTTCTAATGGTTGGTCGTAAATAATTTTCAAGTTTCTTTAGTTGAAAACCAAAATTTTTGTTTATTTTATGCATGATAGAACAAAAAAGCTCTCTTCGGTATTTTTATACCATCTTCGGTATCTTGATATTTTTAATTCTAGTTATGTGTATGTGCAGAGATGCTAATTGATTTACGATAAACCATTATATATATATATATATATTTTTTGGGTTTAGACTATCATAAATACAATTATTTATAAAGATCACTGCGTTTTCGGCATTATTCAACTTGTAGTTGAGTTTCTCAATTTTTCTAACAAGACTTTTACCATCTTAATGAAGTTTATTAAGGTTAAATAAAAAAACTTTTAATGTTTGACATTTTTGACAAAACATTATTAACAATGTTATTACTACAGAAAAGCTCTTTTCGGCATCAACTGCCATCATCAGTGTAGTTATATAGTATTGTTCCGCAGTAAAAACAAAGACACAAAGACGGAACAATACTATATAACTACACTGATGATATATATATATATATATATATATATATATATTTACAATATTCTATAAATTCTACCGAATGTTTGGCGTTAATATGTTTGTAGTTCGTTTTTTCAATTGCAGAAGCAGTCCTAATTGACATCAATAAACCAAAAAAAATATACAACAAAAAATGACAACCTCACTTCCAACCCGGCGCTTATAACGACATATAACGACATCATCTTGTATTACAGAAATCACATGTCAACTGCATACAAGGTCAACTGCATACAACTGCATACAAGACACACTTCCAACTCAGAGTTATCTCTAGGACTGCAGATGTTTTTCAGTATTAGGTGAGACGTCTTTTTATTGTTGTAATAAATTCGGAGTTTAACTTTACTATTTGGGTTGGTTGGTGTGAGATTTTTATTGATGATATGTTTAAGAATAGCTTCATCTACCTTGTATGCAGTTGACATGTGATTTCTGTAATACAAGATGATGTCGTTATCTTGATTGTTGGTACTAGGAAGGTTATTGCTGTGTAGTAATTTGCCTTTAACAATCTTTTCAATAGAGTAAGTCTTATATCCATTGTTTACAAGACTCTTTTTAATTCAGCGTCGCGATTTTCAATATCGGAAGAGTGTGTGAATGCCCGGTTTACAAATGATTTTATTGTGCTGTCTTTAAATTGTTCAGTGCATTCACTTTGTCCATTCAAACAAATTCCTGTATTCGTTTCTTTGACATAGACCGCGGTTTTGAATCGTTCTTCGCCACGGGTGACCAACACATCGAGGAAAGGTAAACGTCCTAGGTAAAAACTGGCAAATAGGACGCCAAGGGGGGAACCCATATATATATATATATATGGTCCTAGAGTCTGGAACGGTCCTCCCAAAGACCTACGAGACCCTGCTCTGGGTATTGCGAAATTTAAGAAGATGTTGAAAACATATTTATTTTCGCAGTAATGTCAATCAATGATGTTCATTTTTTTTACTGATCTAATGTTTATTTAATGTTTGATTTATTTGACTATTTTGTATGTTATTTTATTTTTAAGCGCTTTTGAAAAACTTTTTAATTAGCGCCATATAAATATTCGTATATATATATATATATATATATATATATATATATATATATATATATATATATATATATATATATATAAGTGTCAATGTCAATATAATTCACCAACTATTAATATAAGAGACTGAATAAATAAAAAATTATTTGGAGTCGCCATATTTCTGTCAGCGTATCATCGTTGTATATAAATAAATAAGCCGCAATATGAAACGATAGAGTGGGCATGCTATTATTAAAATAATGGTGAAGTTAAAAGAAGGCCTTTTAAAAAATATATAAAAGAATTTTATATATAATATATTTTACGTTACAATATTTTTATAATTAGATTTTAAATTACATTTATTATAATTATAATATTAAAAAAAGATAAGCTGGTTTTCAACCTTTATCCTTAATTCTTCATTGTTAGGATCAGAATAAGCAACTTCAATTTTATGGTTAAGATCTTCATCAAAATTCTCCCAGCAGTCAGCCATCTTGAACTGCCATTCTACTGGTAAAATCTTCTGGTTAATGACGGTTGACTTGCAACTTGCTGCTTGTGCTGCCAATCCAGAAATTTCCAGATTTTCTTGTGGAGATGAATTGGGTGATTCAAGTTTTTTAATAAACTGCTTAACGATCTCCAAACCTTTCAAACGAGGGAGATATATTCTGCAAAGTAATTTATAAAAGTTTCATAATTAATCACTGTATTTAATTAAATGTTTATAAGTAATGCCATAAATTAATTATTATAAATATGATTCAAATGATTAAAACTAAAAAGCAAAAGTTCAATTAAAAAACAAACAATTTGAATCCAATAAAATCACCTAGTTTGTTTAGAAACTAGAGGTGCCCTCTTACTGCTTTCACATTCTAATAGTATCTGCAGTAGAACACTTATTACATTATCCGGATTGTACCAAATATCAAATGTGTTGTACAGTCTCAGTGAATGAGTTGATGTTAATTTATGAGATAAGTTACAACATTTCTCTGTTGATTCATTTCTAGCACAGTTACCAGTCACAAACTTTGGGCAGATGTGCAGTCTGTCACATGAATCTTCATTGTTGCATGATCCCAATCGATTATAATAATGACAAATCTGTTGAAGTTTAAATGTTAATTTTTAAATAGAAACATTTTGTTTGAAAATCAACAGTAAGTAAAACAAAGAATATAATAAAAAAAAAGGTACAATGATTATTTACTAACATGTAATTGAGAAACTTTTATTACTTCAAGTACAAGATCTGAATGTTTTTTTATAGTATCAACATTCAAGTTAAAATTTTCTAAAACATCCATACACTGTTCATCATCAAAAATTGAATGATTTAATTCACATTTATCACCAGAACAACTTTCATCAAGGAATCCTTTGCATAAATGAAGATGTTTGCAATTTTTATCTTTGCAATATTCATCAGCAACCTCATCATCCAATTTGATATTTGCATTATAATTGCTGTCATTTAGTAGCTGGATTTTCAAATTATTAACCAAAGTTTTATTCTTCAGCTGATAACGCCAACAAAGCTTGGCTTTCTTGAATCGAACTCTAATCACCACAATTCTATTGTTTTGTTCGTCAGTGGTAAATGTAGCAAAATAATCACTTTTCCCTCTGAACCAAAGTTTCACGATTGGGAAATAAGAAGGGTCGTCAGAAAAATCTTCAGGAGACATCTTGGACAAATGAGTGAAAAAGACTCTGCCGCAGTATGGCTTTGATAACATCCTTCCTATCACTCGCTCTAAATTTGGCTCATCGTTGTTAGCCATTTGAATTTATTCAAAATATCATCAGAAGACTTAATTAGAAAATAACACTAAATTTTTATTTAAAATATTGTTCAATTTAACACGCACGTAAGTAAATAATTAATTAAACAAACAAAACACGGGTAATTACCCAACCATGAAAATCGAAAGCGAAATTCCAATTTAATATCGAAAATCATTTAACGTAGCATTTCACGCTTTAAATTAAATCGAGTAAAAATAACTGAACGATTTAAATTACTAAAATATGTTTGAATTATATACTATAAATATAATTTTGTATTTGTTAACGCGTTTTTCTATTCTAAACTATTTATATTTATGAATTACTCCTTTTGATGGAAAAATAGAAGATCTGCTTACCGTTTCAAAAAACAAAGTTTTTAATCATTACATTCAATTATTATAAATACGTTAATTCCCAAGAAGATTTACTCTCCGCTCAATTATTATATAGTTATAACAATACAAAATCTAAAAATTCATACCCCAATGATAAAGCCCAACACATTTAAAAGGATGCTAACATTAACAGAATCTGCCAATCGGTTTTGAATATTTAATTTTACTATTTAGTATTAAGAAATATTTGAGTTAAATATTACAAAATGAATATGACTTCAGTTGAGAAAATTGTCCGATATCTCAGTAAAATGTCCAAGCCAGCTAGTAAGCAGCTAGTTGGTGCGTTGTGGGCATACCGAAACGCCCCCGCGGCCGATTTACAACGGCACAAGGTCCATACGCCGCGTCGCCAACGGTCTATTCGCTGAATAATTATTTGTAAAAAGCACGAAGCACAATTGATCGGTTTCTTACATTGTAACTAAGATCAAAATATAATAGAAATCACACTCAATATCCATTTTTGTCTGCTTTTTCTGATTGCTTTTAAATTTTATTTAACAGATTCGCGTCAACAAAACTCTGCCTAACGCAATGAAATAGTTTTTATTGATAATGAGTGAACACAACTTTGTAGTCAGATAAAAATTTTATTTAGATATTCCCTGTGCATAGCTTTCAAATCTATAATAAGAAATGTAATAGAAATACTGAATAACAGAAATAATTTAGATCTCAAATTCCATTAAGATTAAAGTTAAACAATATTAGCGCCAGTAAATAACGCACAAGTTTCTTGTAAGTTGTTCACAAATGTGCTCTGTGAAATTATTTCTCTCTGTAAAATGGGTGCGGTCTTCTTACGACATCCTGTACAGTACCATTTTTCAAGTTAGTTTGGTACATTCTTTTTAAATTTATTTCATAATCAATTGAATTTGACGTAAAGTTTATTAAATAATTTTCATCGTTAAATTCATTTTGATAATATCCTTCAAGACTAAAAGGTTCTGGATATCCTGACTGGAAGGAAAATAAACCAAAATTATTTTAAAAATTTAAATAAATATATTTTAATGTAACTTTTTCTTGATATTCCACCCATTTTAAATCATCTACGTAGAACCATCTCCACCAAGTTAAATATTTAGCGCCGGCTTGTGGATTCAACAGGGAATCAGTTGTCAGCCTCCTGACAGGTCCCTCTCTTAATATATCAGATCTTACAAGTTTTGCAGATTTTATTCTCAAATCTTTGAACGTCATGTCCTCAAAATTTACTTCAGTGTTAAAATTGTATCGGCTACTGCCATTAAAATAGAATGTCTCTAAGTTATAGTGGTACAACGAAATTGATTGCAAAAAATTTTTAGTTACTTGGGGAATAAAAAAGTGACTTCGCAACAACAAAATGCTTTTTCAATTAAAATGTTCTCTGCATAATTTATCCAGTCGTCATTCACATCGCGATACTGCCATTGATACGGCAACTTTTCTATTTGATGAAAGTCTGGACAATTTTTTCTTAAACAAGGACCCTCTAAAAAATAAACACAAATTTTCGGATGAGCGCAAGAGATTCCGTCATTTTTGGATGCCCTCTTTGAATTAAAAATCATCCCATCATTTTCTGCGATGTTCAAATGCATGTGTTAAAAAATTATTATGTATTAAATGGAGCTTGTATTACTTCTCTTTCTGGTCTGAAATGAATCAGATTTCCTAAATCCGTTGACATTTAAACTTTCATCTAAATGATAATCGCCAATTGACAGGTCTATAGTAGAGCCCACATTAATTAATTTTTTTAAATCTGCTATAATTTGTTTTGGAATTTGATTTGGGTTCACGTCTTTCTGCATGAGCAATTTTTTAATCTGGGGGTTTTTTAAATCGTGCGATCTTTCGCATGTTTTTCCGAATTTACAAACGCTGACAACGTAATGAGCACACAAATGTAAAGATTCACATTTTTGTTTAAATTTGCAACCTTGAATACTGTTGTAGCCTTTGCATATTAACGCTTTTCGGTTCTTTTCCTATAAATAAATTAGATTTATCATTATCGATTCAAGTCCACTTTTTGTAATCTTGTATGGTTAGCAAATGAGAGCATTATTGATTTTCACTATAAACGAGTCTCAAATTTTGATGCTGCTATTTACTTTTGGTTAACTGCATAAATAATATTCTTATAGATATAAGGCAGTAATCTGTTGCTATGAACAAAACTTAAAAATCAAAAAGAAGAAGATGGTTTTAATTATCTTACTGTGGTTTCAATGTTCAAAAGAGGCACAATATCACATTTTGATAATTTGTCCAGGGAATATTTCTTCAAGATTGGAAGATTGTGAGGACTCCTGAAATTGTGACTGTACTTGCATTTCCCATTGAATTTACAATCATTTCTCAAATAATGCAAACAGATGTGTAAATTTCCACATGAATTTTTATATGCTCGACAGCCTTCAAAACTTAAATATTCCTATTTCAAAATTATTTGTATCGATTTTACAACTATATTTTCAAATAATAATACTAAAAAAATATTAAAAATGAAATCAAACAACACTATAAAATTAATACCCTGAAACAAAGGATTAATATCTATATATGAATTTTGGCTGGCGTGATGGCCCAGTGGTCTAGGTTGCCTTGTATTGTTTTGCAGTGATAGGTTGCCTTGTATTGTTTTGCAGTGACATGGTTCGAATGTGACAAAGAGCTGCATGTGTGATGCATCGTTTAGCATGTATTCATATACGTCCTATGTTTGCGTGTTGATTCTTCTGAACCTAGGAAGAGTGTAATAGACCTTCAACCGTTTTTTGTTCTATTTTTACAAAATTTTGACGTGGGAAACATTTTTTCGCGTTTTTACTATTTAAATATTAATTATTAATAAATTCTTACAAGTTCACAGTGTCAATTGCTTGCCAAACTGCGCATTATAAAATAACTCTTTGATAAATTTATCAACGATACTTTGTTGCCTAGAGACAGAGAGCCAATGTAACCATTTTTAAAATGAATAATTATTAAGTGAATGAATGATGGCGTCAAAAAGAAGTAATGAAGCCAAATTATAGCGGTAGCTCATTATAATTCAAAGTTGAAAAAATCGAGGGAGGCGAAATTTAATTCTTAAAATTGAATCACAAATTATAGAATAAACATTTTTTTCATCAAAAATTGTTTCTTGTTAGATGGTATGCAGAGAACATTTAAAACAACCTGACATAACTTTGGACTTCTCGCTTCAGTTGAAATTAAAAGTGAAGTGTCGTCGCCTGCCATCTTGTCATACGGAAAATCCTCACAATTTTCTTTTGACTCAATAAATGAATATTTGAAACACATATTAAATATCGAAGTATTCACCAATTTACGTCACACAATGTAATATTTATTGCGATCAAGATACAATTTTGTGGATTCATTGAAAATCAAACGAAGCACTTGTGATGTGTTCACTATTAAGAAAGCGAAAGAAAGGGAATTTGGTGTAGGAAGATTAAATATTAATATAGTGATGTGAAAATTTTGTTTCGCTATTTGGCTAAAAATATGTTTATGGTTTACTTTTAATTTCAATTATGTTAAGCTTTAATTATTAAACTTTATTAAGTTAATTTATATAACATTTATGTACCAACCATATCCATGGTACCAACTTAAGAAAAGCTCCTCCATCCGTTATCTTCTTTCTTTCTCGTGCATTATTCTTTCTGGACATTGGCGACCATCGACCTCCACAAAAGTGTTTAGAAACTAGAGGTGCCCTCTTACTGCCCTCTTTGTAGTAGTTGAAATGTGTTGATATTCAACAAATGACACAAGGACTTCACGAATGTGATCCTTTGTTGACCGTGATCTCTTCGCTCTGCAATCTTTCCAGTGGTTGTTACGTTAGATTCTACATCCCTTCCTTCCGCATGATGTGACCAAAAACTGCCCCCGTCGGAGTATTTGATGTTATTTTCTCTTTTCATAACCGGACTGTTTTAATACATCCTCATTTGAGGTATGAGAGGTCCAACTAATTTTAATAATTCTTCTAAAAAAACTACATCTCAGCAGCATCAATATTTTTTCCATTTTATATTATATTCTGTAGATATATGAGTTTAAGTCCATGCATATAGAATACTACACTTTAAACAATAAGGATAGCTAATGATGAAATTTTATTTAAAATATCCAAGATATTTTAAAAAGGGGCGGTGTACCAAAGATCGATGCCTATAGTTTAATGAACATGTAAGAAACGCTAATGACTTCTCAACAGCAAATACGCTAATCACTCCTTAGCAAAAAATGTGGTGATAAACCCATAACAGTATATATGCTAATTACCCCCTTAGCATAATTTGCTAAATAATGTGCGATGTGCTTTCTTTTGTAACGCAAAGGCATACATATATCGTCCCATATCTATTAAATTAATGTGAGCAAAACTTTCTAACGGGATACGAAAACACCAGCATTAATTAACTTCTTACTATGACGACTGCACGCGCAACTTGATCGATGTTGTTCAGTCTGATGCTGCTCACATAAGATGAACATTTTGAATTACACATTAGAACGTCAGTATGATACATACATACATACACATACGTAATAATAATATATGAATTGTAAACAACCATGCACATGCATATTTATTATGTAAAGGTGCACATTTGAAACACACACTACAGAATATAAAAAATTTGGATCCACAAAGAAAATTTATAATTAACAAGATACCTGTGATTAAATATTTTATTCTTTCATTAAATTCTTAATGCTATTAGTGATAGGTGAAATAATATAATTTTTATGATATCTTTCAATAGCGTTCATATGGCGAGGTAGTATTCGAACCCGAGGTCTGATCTCTCTCAACTTGTTCACTGCTTCTTCGGGTGTGTAATTGTGTATCTGCAGTTTGATAACATTTAATGCTCATGAAAACATTTAAAAATTTACCATTTGATTGCAAAAATGTGACAAAAAATTTACAAAAAATTTAAAATTAATCAAGAAGTTTTATGTGTATGTAAGCCAGATAAATAAAGAATATAAAATTACATTTATAAGATAGCAAGCAACAATTGTAGCACTTCTTGATCGACCAGCTTTGCAGTGAACGTAAACAGACTTGGGTGGTTTTCTATCTTTAAATTTTAATATGAAATCAACACCTTCTTTAATTTGTTGATCACTAGGAACCGAAAACCAATCTGGAGTGCTGAGCACCAACTGTTCGATTCCAATTGATCTCCATTCCTAATCCGATTTACACATTATTATTATATTTATTTTCATTATATATATATATATATATATATATATATATTATTTATATCTATTATACAAATTTGCTTTGACTTTCAATATTTGATAAAAAATTCAAAGGCAACTAAAAATAGCTAACTTCTTTTGTGTTAAACCAATATTTTGTTTCATGTGGTTCAAGTGCAGTGACAACACCCTTGACTCCTTCATTTACAAGCTAAAAAATTTCAATCATGTGTATAATTTATTTTGTTAAAAAATTAATTCATTTCATTTTAAAGAAAATTAAGAAAAATTAAGACCAAAAGTTTTTTAGTATGCTTCCTTGTACATGTTCAAAATCAAGTGATAATTTTTCATTTGAGCAACTGAAAAATTCAAGTAGACTAGCTTTTCGGTTTTTTTTGGCTTACCACTTCTACCTACTCACATAATAATAACCACCCCTAGTTTTATTTATTTATTATTTTATTTATATTTTATATGATGTATGTATTGCAACACCAAATTAATTTAAATAATGATCAATTACTATTATTAACCAGGTATGATTAACAAATATTAAATTAATTTTTTACTAATTTTAATTAAGTAATAAATTAATTAATTAAATTTAAATATCAAATGTTAAAAATTAAATTTAAAAAAAAACTTTAAAAAAGAGTTTCTGACTGAAACTGAACTGACCTCATGATTATAGGATCTGAATGGCAAAGCACCAAGTATGACGACATCATCTACCCTGTTGTACCACGGAATTTTTATCAACCTCTGCAGAACGACATTATACCCCAACGAAATGTAAAAGTATGCGTTCGCCAGGCAACCCATGTCAGCTTCACATCACGATTTTTAAAATAAGTCTAAATGTGAATTTAAATTAAAATTGTAGGTTGAAAACTGTCGTCAATTTAGAAAATTAAAACCATTGATTAAATTATTATACAACATTAGGATAGAAAACATTTAAATTTTTAAAAGTTAGGAAACATATGTTTTATTTTGTTCATTTCATGCTGTTTTAGAGGATATAATAAATTATGTTATGATCTGTTGATGTTACTTGTATTTTGTAAACACAAACATTGAATTCTAAAATGTTATTTGGTGTTATAAAACTATTATAAAATATTTTTTGATAATTTAAAGCTTTTATATAAATATGAAAAATGTTGTTTACTATAAAAAAAGTTAAGATTTTTGTTGGATAAATAATCGATTAATTTAGCAAAACCTTCGGTTGCCTTTCCATAATTAACGAACTAATCTTGTGCCATCCTTCATTAAGCTTCTTTCTTTTTTCCGATTTTCAAAATGGTGGGTGGGTTGTGTATGTTTGAATGTGTGAATTTATCTTATTAATCTTGCAAAAATAACGACCATCTTTTATTATTAATGAAATAAATTTAATTTAAATTTTATTTCGAATCGGCATATACATTTTTTGCTAAGCTTTAAAAGATAATGTGCAGATTATCGTAATAAATGATGAGCAAGTTTTTTTTTATCAAGTTTTAATTTTTATTAGGCCAAAAGAACCAAAAAGGTCGGTATTTGCGGTAAATATGGTACAAGATATGGTGCCAGTTTGCGTAAAGATATCAAAAAAATGGAAATAACCCAACATGGAAAGTACACTTGTAGTTTCTGTGGAAAGGTTGGTAGAATTATTTTAAATTTAAAATTTCGTGAGCACGATTATGATACTAATATAATATCTATCAAATTTTAAAACTAACATTAATTCATACACTATGATAATTAAACTCATTAAAATTAAATTTTACTGTTGTAGATCCTTAAATTATTATTAATTTAAATTAAAAAATGAGTTTTATGAAACTCATTTTATTTTATAATTATTTTGTATTAAACTGTTGAAGTGCTGCTAAGCTAAATAATTTAGCCTCAAGGCTTTACCCACATTAATATTTTATTTAATGTTTATATACATACAGTACTGGTTAAAACTATTATATAGAACTAGACACACGATTTTGCAATATGTCTTTCTTTTCCAGACGAATGTGCCTTATTGTAAATAGTATGGTGCTTTAATAATTAAAATTGCAAGTTTTTCATAACAATCAGAAAATATATGATATCAAATCAATTAACAATTAGTTGAAAAAGATGAATTCTTGTCAAAACTGGCTTTTCAACCCATATTAATTATTTAATTAATCAAAAATAAGAACCAGCACACTGTTTCCAATGAGAAATAAGTTTGTTTATTCATGTAGCATAAAATTCTGGTGTCCTGCAGCTAAATACTATTGGAGAACATTTTGTATGGTGTCTCGGTAATTGAAGCATTTCCCAGCAAGGTAGATGTCCAAATGTTTGAAAAAGTAGGGAAGAGGTCTCGGGAGTATAATGGGTGTAATAGTGGATAGGGTAGAATCTCAGCCCAAGTCTTTCATTTTCAGTGTTTGTTTTAAATGTGCCTTAATTTCTGGTAACATCAAGGGTCCACTTCTCGTCACAATTTGATTCAAAAACTGATCCATTTTGTTCTGCAAAAAGAGAAAATGACACTTCGGAATGAAGATTCTTTTTCTTTCCACTCAAATCGTGGGGAACCCGCTTATCCAGCTTTTCAACCTTTTCGATTTGCTTCAGGTGGTCACTAATTGTGGTGCTGTCAACGTTAAGTTCTTTTGCAAGATCCCATGTGGTTTTGCATGGATCTGCTTTAATAATTGCCCTCGATTCATAGTCTTAAATCTTATATGGTCTCTCTTGACCCTCTTAATCTTTGAGACCATAATCACCAGAACGGAACTTGTTAAATCTTCTTTGTGTGGTTCTTTTAAAAGTACTTGCATCTCACCATGCTTGGATAACATTTGCAGTTGCCTCTGAGGCATTGCAGCAGAGCATGAACTCATGAAGCAAAATCATGTGAATTCCTCGCTTTGACAACTATTTTTGTAAAAGCTTAAAGACCACTAAAATAAAATACCACGCTACTCATTTCAATGTGTTTACATAGATAAATCATTAAATTTTAGAGTAATATATAACATTCAGTGGTAGCCAAAATAATTTCTTAAAATTAATTTCAAGAAGTTGAACCTTGTAAAATAAACCTGTAATTTAATTTAGCTAGCTGTTCTCTTTAAAAGCCATTATAGATTAGGTTTGGTAGTTTCCTGTTTTGTTTAAAGTTTAGCAAGGGAATGTAAATATAGTAAGCTTTTCATAGTACCTTATTTCAAGTGTTAGCTTATATTATGACTAATGTTGATATATTGAATTTTAAAAATAACAGGAAACCATGAAGAGGAAAGCTGTTGGCATTTGGACGTGTAAATCCTGTAAAAAGGTGGTTGCCGGTGGAGCTTATATCTACAGGTATATATTATTCTAAATTTATTTTGTTCAAGTGATGTTTTTGTTGCTGATAACAAGTATTAATCGATTTTTTTACATAGAACTAACCAAAGTGTTTTTTTTTCAGTACAACTGCTGCTGCCACAGCCCGTTCCACCATACGTCGTCTCAAGGAAAGTAAAGATACATAAATGACGTTCTCATTTTCTTCATGTCTAAAGAAAAGTCTTTAAAATAAAAATTGTCATAAAACAAAGTGTTGTGTTGTTGCATACATCTTTCATTAGAGGTTCAACATTTATTTGCAAATTCATTCTATGCGTTAAGTTTGTATACCAGTACAATCATAGTTGTACTGAAAATTTTGTTAGAATAAATTTCTTAGTTTTCGATTATCAATGTCGGAAGCATTGTGATTTTAAGATGTGTTTACTATGTAGTCAATCAAAAATGGCCTACGTAAAACAATTAGTCGAAATAAGGAATGGTATTAGGCAAGGCTGTGTATTCTCTCAAGACCTGTGCGATGTCTGTAGTGGGATCATCATTGAGAGAGATAGAAGATCTATCTGGAATAACCTGTTGGAGGCGTCAACATGAACGTGTAAAATATGCTGATGATTGGGCTCTTATAGCAGATTCGATGGGAAAACTAAACAATGATGATGCTGATGATTGGGCTCTTATAGCAGATTCGATGGAAAAACTGCAAACAATTGTTTCCAAACTGGTTTTTGAAAGTGAAACTGAAGGCTTGCAAATTATCTTCAACAAAACAGTGCATGGTTATCAGTAAAAGAAATACCGCAGCGATCTGCTTCATAATTATTAATGGTAAACAAGGAAGGAATGAGCAGAAAATCTAACAACTACTGGAAAGATTGCAGGGAAAAGAGATCGCAGTCAACAACGAATAACATTCGTGAAGTCCTTGTGTCACTTGTTGAATGTCACCACATTTCAACTATTACAAAGTGTTAAAAATCGTTTTTTGTGGATGTTGATGGACGCCGATGTTCTCAATTGGTAAGGCATGAGAAAGATGATTTAAAAACATGACCAAAAAATGAGAGGGAAGAGGTGACAAATTTAAGAATTTTTTGGTGTTTATCACTGCTGGGCAAAGATTATTTATTTGTGACTGAAAATTATACTATGGCATCCTAAGTTGGACTAACAACGAACAAACACTTTTTTAAAAAAACTTGATAAGTGGAGAAAAAAATGATATAAATAATTGCATACAAGAAATAAATTATGACACTTTCATAGTTGATTAATAAAACTATAAAATAGTATTTCGAAAAAATTATTTGTTTCTTTAGTTCTTTTCAAACTCTTGAATATACTACAGAAATTCTCTTCCCCTTAGATATATGTGCTTTATTTTAAACAGCGGCATAGCCTATAGCAAGTGAATTAAATTGGCTTGAAAGTTTCGTCACCGCTTTGACATTTTTTTGTTTGGATGGCTTAATGGCTAAAGGCGCCTGGTCCTGTTGCAATGCGTGTTGTGACCGATTCGAATATGACCTAATCCTGCCTATCACATACTTTGCGCGGATTCATTTACGCTGTTTTCTATGTTTGCTTAGGCTTTTTGACTGCTTTCTGTTTTATGATATATAAATATTTTCAATTTGATGTCTGAATTGTTCTAATGTGAAGCTTTAAAAATTGGATGTGATTTGATCTTTGAAAAGGAAGTATCGAACTCGGTCTTGGACGACATTTAACAATCTGAATCAGAAAAATTTTTGAAAATATGTACCTATCTATATCATTCCATTAGTTGGAAAACAACAACAATCACAAATCTTTTGAAAATCCATTGTTTGTTGTTATTTTATTCACCTAACGTTTTGTTTGCAAATTATTCGAATTTGTATTTGGCTTACAAATTTTGACATTATCCTTCACATTCACAAGTTGCTTGTGAGAGGTAGTTTCAAAATTAAAATACATTTTGAACAAATTAAGAAACTTGATGAAAGTCGACTTTACAATAATTTATGCCGATGTTCTGCAACAAGGACCTTCTTCCAAGAAAAAACAGCGATGAAATTATTGATGTTTAAAAATTAACTAGAGGTGAAACGTCGAAACTAGTTGACACTTAGTGAGTACAAATTTTAGACTAGTGTTTCTTATGTTTAAATTGTTAAAATAGAACTAGGAGATATTTATTTATATAAACAATGCCAGCAAAGTGTTTTCTATGAACATAACAGATAACTTTAGCTGATTGGCGGCATAAAGAGCAAAATCTTCCGTTCCTAACTCACCAAGGGAGAAACAATTATAAGTAAATGTATCTCGTATGCACATTCTTCCCACCTACCACTTTCCAGTTAAAAGAAAGCATGAAACGAAAATATTTCTGGCAATTTATTTATTTGTGTGTCTAATCTATCATATCTAATCAACTTTTCATGGTTATTATTTTGAAAAAATAAACTGTTAGTATAAAAAACATGATCAAGTGAGCAATTCTCTTAAGAATTTTCACAAAAGACACAGCATTCTAGACTTTCAAAATCTATTATAAAATGTATCGGTTTTTTGCATAATTTTGTTGTTTACAATTTGACATTTAACAATTTAGCAAACATACATATGTAGCCAGTGAAAAACGTATCTAAATTTTACAAATTCCGTTCACATTAAAAATTGCAAACTTTAAGAATGATGAATAATATTGAATGAGCAATCTAATGATAAGATATCATTCATGTGATTTTTCAGTTAAGACAAACAAAGGGTTCGTCATTATGTAACAGTAGTAGCCTATCATTTGCTATTGGATCTTAATACCCAATTAAATTGAAAACTAACAATTTATAGCAAGAAATATACATGCAAGTTAATGTATGCAACGTAATGTGCGTAACTAAACCCTTCAATGAATATGCACTTTGAACAACATGTGGTTTTACTTTACACATACTTTGTTTTGTTGTAAAATCATATTTGAATTAGTTCGCAAAACTCAAAAATATATTGTTATACAGAATTATATACATCGAATTAAGTTGTGTTATGCATATATTTTGAAATTCACGAAAAAATCACACAAACAACGTACACATACATATTGTGTTAGAGTATTCAAAATTTATATAATGCATTATTCCAACTGTCATTTGGGAAACCAATTTTTTAACTAGTTAATTTTTTAAATAAAAAATCGATAAATTTCGGTCTGTCAAACAAACAGTGAATACTGTTTTTCGCCAGTTTAAAAAATAAAAGAAATTTGGTAATGAAATTAAAGAGTGCATTAAACAGATAAGATTTATATTTCTTGGAAAAAATTCATGAAAAATGTTTAAAAACTCCATGATTGCCTATGAAACTTGAATTGAAAAATGTACTAAAGTTTAAAAACTAAGAATAAAAAACTAATTTTTATACAGTGTGAGACACAAAATGGACAGCGAAGTGATGACAATAAAACAAAAGCTATGGAAAGGACCAAATAAGATTTGATGCTTTGTTGAGTGAAAATATTTCTACGTTCATTTAAAATTTGAGAAAGATATAATTTTGAATTTGACGTGAATATAGGGGTTAACCAGGTGTCTAACACAGGGCACCACTATTTGCTAGCGGTTACGCGTCCGTCTGTCTTGAATGCATGCTGAAATGAAACCCAAATCTTTTTTTAAATCTTTCACCTTCAACATTAAACAAACACTGTTGTCAGGTTTCTGTAGCATTTTAATTCATTTGTTTCATAATTTTTCAACCTTATCGTTTGTGTTACCTTTTTACTCAATCTTCTACAGTCACCCATCACCATTATATTTTACATTTTAGCTGATGTTCCTACATGAAAAAATGTAAAAAAGGGTTAGGGTTAATGTAAAAAAGGTAAAAAATCCTTATATGTTTTTGTGATTATCCATATAATAATTAAATAGATTAATTTATTTTGAATAAAAACGTTAAACCAAAAATTTTAATGAAATTATTGTTTCAAAAGTTTCTCCACAACCATCACGACGTCTTGTCTAGACCAAAAATAACAATTGAATCACAGCTTGGTATATATGCACACCACCCTCTTTATATTCAATCATGACTTTATACTTGCATATATGCGGTTATGGTTGCATAACATATATCAACTATAAAGTTTTGTATGATATAGAAACGATATGAAGCATTTGGCGCTTAAAATCTTTCATTTCTCTCTCCCTTCCATCCTCACCATCTCTCGCGAGAGACGACATGTTATATATGAATTCTAATTTATCTATATATGAGATATGCGACTTCTAAGACATACGTTTTGGGTTAGAAATATATGTTTTGTCTCAACTAGCAATGACTGTCATTACATTCTTTATATTTTTTACTATCTACATTATGCAATAAGGCTAATGAGTTAATATATGAAGTATGCAAGCAAACTGTATTGGAATAAGTAACTGGTGGAGTGACACAACAGCAGCTTACTACATCCTCACTAAAGAATACATTTTGTATTCTTATGAAGAGTCCGCTGAGTTAACGACGCCTAGCTTCTCAATAGGACAGGGGTTACTCGGATCCGTTGAGGAAGAATAAACCCAAGTTGTGAGCGGACTGTACCTAAAATTAATAATAACGCTCCTATAGGTTAATAGAAGGCGCTAACGATTCGAGATAACCGGGTTTCACTGGATATCTGAATTTATCGATCTTAAAATTTCGGTCTGATTTCCCGGATCGAATCTTTTAAGATGGTCGGATCAGTTAGGAGCGTAGGGGCACTGCTTCTGGTCGCCATCTCATGGATATACATCACCCAGGCTCTTTCAACAGGTTAGCATTGCACATTTTCTTGGTTTTTACGATGAATTGAATGAATGCCTATTAATTGAAATTGGTTGATCATTTAATGTCTGCTTGATTTGCATGCATTTTACCTACTAATATTCTCTGTGAAAATATTGCCAAATTTATTGTTTGAATTCAATCGTTTTCCGTTTTTTTGTCAGTTTGGTACCGTGGTCGAGAATGTGACGCTTTGTTGTCGTCTGTATGCAATTAGAGGCAAACGTTGAATCATTTTTAATTTCTCATTACTTTCAAGAGTGTTTCAATTTTGTTATACCGTAATGTAATCCGTACATAAGACTTAACAACAATGACCATTTTCCGCTGTTTTTACGTAAGGGTGCTTCTTATTTCGTGATTTGATTTGATTACCACTGTTAAACTGAGTAGTTAACACCATTTCTTGGGTGCTATGAATATTTATTGGGCGAATTAACGAGACGAAAAGCAAAAATTTATAGAATTGAAAATGTTTTTTGTTATATGTGTCCATAATAATGTTATATTTTAAAGTATGAATGCGCTGTTGTTTGTGTTATCGTGCGTTTCATTGCATTTGCCATTACCAAGTTTAAATATATCTAAATAATACATATTTCAGGAAATTTGGAACAAGTTAGTCGACCCAGGATTACAATTTGGACTAAAAATTTCATTTTCATATAATCAATCAAACTATTTTAATTTCGAACAAAATTAATTTTTTAATTTTCGTTAGTTTTAGTTGGTAAATCTATAGTTTCTGAAATATTTAATTTAAAAAAAGTTAACTTATCATTAATGATGCAAAATAATGTTGAAATTGTAAAAGGTCCGTGAGACGGCCGAGCAAGCATTTGTCTACCAACAACCACAGGTGAGCGGGCTGAATAATTAAATAATAATTAATAATAATTTCAATATTTATTTTGTCTTACAATCAGTATCATTTTGTGATGTTATTTCAAGTTATGCAACGATATGCTGATATCTAGATCTTAAAATGCGTTAATTGAATTATTACTATTTTTTTGTTCATTAACGAAATAGCGGAATTTATTTTAAATTTAAATTAAATAAAAAAATGAAGTTGAATTAAATCAAAAAATATTTACGTTACTAAACAACTGTTGATTGTTTACGAAAGAGTTTGCAAGGTGCAAGAGGACCCCCTGGGCCACAAGGACCAGTCGTAAGTCAATCAATCTTTCCTCCTTACAACATTAACATAATTTATTAACATTTAATTTATTGATTATTGTAAATTTTATTAATATATTTACGCCTATAAATTATTAAAAATAATTATGTAAAATATTTTATTAATTTAAAAAATAATATTTTTTCCGAACAGGGAGCTCCAGGTGCCCCAGGCAGAAGAGGCGATCATGGAGATCCCGGCGTTCCTGTACGTACCTTCAAGCACCTCATATCTCTTTTATAACCTACGATCATACATTTGTACATGTACACATTCATACATGCTTACGTGTTGTTTATATATTGTATATATCAAGCCGTCACTCAATCAACGTATAAGGTAAGACATTCATCACAATGTATTAGCACCCAATAAAACTTTATCGTTGACACTCAATTAGTTCTATTCTTTTTTCTTATCGGTCACTTAACTTACTAAGTCATTAACTAGTTTATTAATTAATAATTTTAGTTTTTGCCTTTTTAAACCATTACTTTATTTTATACTATTGCCCTGCATGCTGTAACGGTTTCTGCGTTTGTCAGATTCTGATTTTTTAAAGAATAATAAAAATAAGTATATATATATATATATATATATATATATATATATATATATATATATATATATAGTTTAATAAACATGCGATTTTCCTGCATGCATCCCAGCAAATACAAATTAATTTTTATATACATACATGTATACGTTCATACATGCATTCATTTTTTCATTCATTAATGCATTCACGTACAAATTCACCAATTTGCAACATACAAACATGCACTCACCACATGCAATGTTGATCTATAAAGGGACCGCCAGGAAGCAGGGGAGCCCCTGGACCACCCGGACCTGCTGGCAAAGAGGTTCGTTCTTATTTATGTGACGGCGGTTGTGGCAATGATAGTGGCTTCATGTGTTTTCAAAATTAGTCTAATTTATTGAACAGCTTATTTTTTAATTTAATTGATCTTTAAATAATTTTTAGTTCGTTATAACAACTTGTGATTTTACCGAACATAAATATTGTCAAAACGCTTTGTAGGGACCTGAAGGCCGCGATGGTGAAGCTGGCATCATGGGTCTGCCAGGAGCTGCTGTTAGTATTTTCTCTCTATATTAAAATTACGTTAAATAAAAAGCTTGTTTAATTTATTATTTTCACTACCTTAGTTTTTCTGTTATATTTAATTTTTCTGTTATATTGATAAGTTTTAGCTTGTAACTTTTCAACACGAGTCGGTTTTTGTTTTTCAGCAAACGTACGACTTTGATGTTAATAATGTTAAAGCGTATGCAAACTTTTTCAATAATTTATTTAGTAGAAATAAATAAATAACTATCTGTTCAACCGTTGATATGTCTTAACATCGTAATATCAGACATATCCAACCATACAAACATAAACTTACGTTGTAACAAACCCACATACAGCAGATAAACGCACACGCACAGACACACACACACACAGACACACACACACACACACACACACACACACACACACACACACACACACACACACACACACACACACACTCTCTCTCTCTCTCTCTCTCTCTCAAACACGCACACACTCACACATTAGGGATACCCTGGCCAAACTGGTGCCCCTGGTCAACAAGGACCTAAAGGACACAGAGTAAGTCTTTTTATAATTTAAGAAAATGCGGTTTTTGTAAAAAAATTTTGAAAATGTATGAAAAATATTTTTGGTTTATGTACACATTATATTAACAGTTTGTAAGAATTTCTTTGCTAACTATACAATCTTGCATCTTCTAAACTTACTAACATCATTAATATAATTAATCTAACTGTCAATTGTCATTTACCATTTGAATGTTGGGTTTAAGTAGAGCCAAAAAATCTGAAAAAAGCAAATAATAATAGAAAATAATAACAACAACAATATCATTAATAACTGTAATTATTACTTATTTATTAAATAATTGTTGAATAAAAGTTCATTTAAGTAATACAACAAATGAAAAAATTGATGTCGTTGATTGCAGGGTTTTCCTGGAGCCAGAGGTGCCAAAGGAGAAGTTGGAAAAGACGGAGAGCAGGTTCTTTACGATTTCACTTGAGTAATACGAAATTGTAAATATATAATTTAAATGCTATAAAAAAATTAAGGGAATTTTTTTATAATATCAATGTGAAAAAGATATATGTAGAGTTTATAAATGAATGCATATGACATGAATATGCAAATGATATGAGTATGTAAATTACAGGAATATGTAAAGTTTATAAATATGTAAATTTGTAATGATTAATTATTCAGGGTGCAATGGGAGCTCCAGGAACTGTTGGTGCCCCAGGTATTTTGGTAAGTATTCGTACAATGATCTTTATTTTTTTGTCTGTTTAATTACAGTTTTTTGTTATAAATCTATTGAATTTATTTTGATTATACTTTTCAATCTGTTGTTCATTTGTTCGTGGTTGAATTGTTCGTTATTGTTTGTGTTAATGAAAATGTTGAAAGCTCCATTATTGCTCAGTATTACGTTATGAACGTTTATTTGAATTTTTTGATGAGCAAGGCCATGCAGATAAGCAGAAAACTTCTTTTTTCCCTTCTGTATTGCACAGTTTAACATAATGAATTGACAGGGAGCCCGCGGACCACAGGGAGAGAGAGGAAGTGACGGAAGAGAGGGACCAATTGTTAGTCTCCACATCTCCTATACGTTTTGTTTTCACTAACTTACTGTAACGTAATTCGTTGTCATATATTGCCACGTGCTCATTCATTCAAACTTTAAAAAGGCATCAGCGTAAAATATGAAATATTTAAACGTTGAATGTTTCGAGCATAAGCACATAAATGAACTTCTCCACCAATGAACACACATCCGTTCAAAACTTCTGTACTGATGTTGTCATACCTACGCGTGTTTACACACAAAAATCTTACTCTACTTCCTGCAGGGTCTTCGTGGTTTAGATGGAGTGCCAGGAAGTGCAGGACCAGCCGGAGGAGTTGGACCAATGGGAGCACCTGGCTTTCCAGGATTGAGAGGAGCTAAGGTATCTTTGGCTGTTTAATTTTATTATTTAATACAAAATGTATGTTCTTCTTGGAAAATATTTCGTGCATACGTGCAACCGTGTAGATCTCGGTTACCATAGGTTCAATTTGTTAGCACCATGAATGATTGAAACTTGATAAACAGGGAGATGCAGGATTTCCAGGAGCTGCAGGATCACCAGGAGTAGCTGGAGCCAGAGGACCAACTGGTGCACCTGGTGCCCCCGGAGAGGCTGGAAGACCAGTGAGTTGTGCTGATGTGCTGTGGTGCTGTTGTTTTGATGTGTTGTTGTGCTGTCGATGTTGACATGTTACAATTGCTATTGAGATGTTTACATTTTCAATGTTAATAACGTCATTGACAATGATTTTTCTCTGCCTGTGTAACTTGTTCACAGAGCCGACAGGACATTTGTTGATATTTTTTATGATGTTAACTATGAAAATCTTTACTCATTAAAGTGATCTTGGTGACAGTGACAATTGTTTTAATTTGAGAACTTCAGTATGAAATTAATTCTAAACACCTAGGGAGCTCCAGGAACTGACGGAGTGCCAGGAGAGAGAGGAGAGAGGGTTGGTCATTATTCATCATTTATCATTCAACATCGGTCATTATTCTTCATTCATCGGTCATTATTTTTCATTCATTGGTCATCATTCATTGGTCATCATTCATTGGTCATCATTCATTGGTCATCACTCATTATTCATTGGTCATTGCACATCATTCAGTGACCGACATTTATGATTTTTTGGTCCTCTATCATTATTTTTCAGCATTGACCATTCGTTAGAAATAGTTTCACAATTTCAATTCTTTTAATTGTTCAATAGTCATAATCTATTTAATCGAATAATAAAAACACAAAATTAAAAACCACTTTATGAATTAAAATAATTAAATAAAAATCTCAAAATGTTTAAATTGTACAACATTTCGTAAAACAATGCTTTGCCCGATTATAAATCTTCACTTTAAATATAAATTTTTTGTATATAAAGTAACAATAATCACAAAGAGTTTCATCAATACAAATTAATGGCGACATTATTTTTTGCTCGTCAACAGGGTGATGCCGGTAGTGCAGGAGCCAGAGGAGCCCCTGGCGCTGTTGGAGCTGCTGGCGCTCCAGGTGCCGCGGGACCAGCTGGGCCCAAAGGAGACACCGTTAGTTCGAGCTAACACGTGATTACTATTGATGTTATATTTGTTAAGTTTAATTTTGAACAGTTTTAGAGGACAATTTTATTCACTATACCAATCCGCATTGATAAATTTTTGTTGTTATTGTTATAGCAAGTTTTTCTTTGTAGAAACGTATTTTTCTTAGTAGAAAAGTATTTATGGTCACTTTCGTTTTCATCTTTACTTATTTTCTTATCACTTTTAGTCATCATCAATTATCCTGTCGCCATCACTTTTGCCACCAGGGTGCTCCAGGACACCAAGGGTTTGCTGGCGAGGCTGGACCAAGAGGAGCCCCAGGAGCTCAGGGTGAACTTGGTTCACCAGGAAAGCCTGGAGTTGTTGGCAAAAGAGTAAGTTGGCATTATGTTTGAAAAGTTCATGTCTGTGACATTTGAGAATGATTTTGTCAAAGTTCACCAGGAAAGCCTGGAGTTGTTGGCAAAAGAGTAAGTTGGCATTATGTTTGAAAAGTTCATGTCTGTGACATTTGAGAATGATTTTGTCAAAGTATTTAATGTAAATTGTCTAATCGAAACCATATTTAATTTTGATAAAATAATATGTATAGTGATTAATTTTAATATATTGAATGATTTGATAAGGGTCCCAACGGAGGACAAGGACCTGTTGGAGCTCCAGGAGCCGCCGGAACCGCTGTAAGATTTCTTATCATTCCGCACTTTTTTCGGCTATGTATGATGTTTCAGCTAATTTAATTTTTCATATTGACTACCTGAACGCTGGCAATTACCAAACACGCATTCATTCCTTTTTATTATTTAGTAATCTGTAATGATGGTTGTTGATATAAGGGAGCGCCAGGAGAGCCCGGTTTCCCAGGAAACGCAGGACCTTCCGGACCTATGGGAGCATCCGGCCCCCGTGGTGAGGACGGTGATGCTGGAGATGTCGGACCCAAAGTCTGTAACCTATCTTCTACATATTCATTTTTGTATTTATTTATTTATGTAGTGCTGACTTTATAACTTGTGTGATAAATTTTAATATAATATAACAAGAAATAAATTGTTCTATATCTTTATTGGCTACTTTTAGGCATGCATATTTTTTCATATAAGTAGGACGTTACCTTTAAAAGTGAATAAAAATATGAACAGGGAGAAGCTGGTATGCCAGGACTTCCAGGACCCCAAGGTCTCAGGGTAGGTCGCCAATCACCTTGCTATTTCTTATGAGTTCAACATTCTTTACCATTAACATTTGAAGAAGCATTCATTTAACTCAACGTTATTCACTCAGCAAACATTATTCTATAGTTACGCAATCAATCTCTCAATTACATTGTTAGTGATAAAGTTATACAATAGCACACACATACATTATCGCACATATATTTATATATACATAGAAACACATACATTCTCACACTTACATACATTCAAACAAACACATACATTACCGTACATACAAACGAACATACACTTACATACATTCAAACACACACACATACATTCTCAGACACACAGACATAGAAACACACAGCTTACACAAACTTACAAATAATTTTCGTTGACGACATGACCTTTTGAACCAAAGGGCGAACAAGGTCTCCCAGGCAAAGATGGCAGCAATGGCAGAGAAGGGCCACAGGTCAGTCGGTTTTATTACAAATTTTTTTGTTTGTGTATTTATAAATAAAATTTTGTCATTTTTTAAACTTTCTTGCTTACTTTTTAATTTTTCTGGCTTAATTTTTTGCCTTCTAGCTTTTTAAATTGTTCTTATAATGTTTTAATGTTGCACCTCCGTTGTAAATGGAAATTACAGACACTTTCTTATCACCGGCATAATCGTCATCATACCATTGTCATACATTATCACATTATCAAAGCATCATTACAACCACAAAGGCATTCAACTACAGCCACAATCGACCACACCCACAATCAACCACAACCTCAATAGGGTGCTCCCGGTAAAGAAGGCAAGCACGGAGAACGAGGTGTTGCTGGTGCACAGGGAACAGCTGGAGAAACAGGAGCTCAAGGAGAGCCAGGAAGAGCTGTATGTATCTACTTTGTTTGCACGTGTGTCTGTTTGCTGTGCTATTCACTCTCTTTCTCTGTCAGTAATTTTTGTTTCTTAATGTTAAGTTGAAATAAGCAGTGGGTAATCGTAGTTACTATTCTGTCATTCTGTCTGTCAATACTTGCCTATCATCATCATGCTATCATTCATCACCATCAACATCACCACTAAAACACCTCCAGCACCACCGTCAGTAACATCATCTTTATCATCACAACTTAAGGGTAGCCCAGGCAAAGCTGGTGCCCCCGGAAGAGCAGGACCCCGCGGACCAGCTGGTGACCGTGGAGCTGATGGCGAACCTGGAGAGGCTGGAAGGGAAGGCGTTGCTGTAAGTTTATTTTTTCTGTTTCTCTATATCAGATGTATGTTTATTATCTATTATATATTTTTTTTTACATTTTTTACTACAACTGCTACTGCTACTAACACTGTCACTTGTACTGCTGCTAGTACACTCTACTGCTGCTACTACTATTAATTATTATTATTATAATTAATATTATAATAATTATTAATATAATTATATTGTTGTTGATGTTGTTGCAGGGTGCTCCTGGAGAGAAGGGACCAAGAGGAGACCGTGGAAAACCAGGAGAGCAAGTTGGAATTATTTTCATTATAATTATTATCGCTGTTATTATTATTATTGTTATTATTATTAATTTTTTTATCGTCGTCATCATAGTCATCAACATCATCATCGTTATTGTCATCACCACCATTGTCATCATCGTCATCATCATCATCATTAACTTCAGGGATTACCGGGAGTACCAGGAGCTGACGGAGCTGACGGTCCCGATGGTCCCCTCGGAGCTCCTGGATCCGCCGGGCCCGCTGGAATCACCGGAGATAAGGTTGTCTTTTTTATTTAATATATTATTAATATTATTATTAAAATTATAATTACTATTGTTAAATGTCATTGTAATTTATTGTAATTATTAATTAATTAACAACAGTAATAATTATTATTTTTGTTATTGATCCCATCAGTTATGTTGTTTTATTTAATCTTGCATTCATTGTTATAGCGTATTTTCATTTGGTTCTTCAACGATGAATGCGTGCTCTCTTCCTTTCTCAAAAACATTCTTGTAAAATTTATGAGAAAAATTTTTTGTTACGGCGTGAAATGTTGTTATACAGGGATTGGATGGAGACAAGGGCCTGATGGGGGCCAAGGGATACAAGGGGCCCTCGGGTGACAGAGGCGACCAGGGACCCGACGGTGATGCCGGAGATGCTGTATGTTCATTTTTTTGAGATTTGGGTTTTTTTGAAATTTGGTTTTGTCATTTTGATTTTTGTTACTGCCATTGCATTATTGTTGTGTTTTTATTGTATTTATTTATTATTTATGTTGATATATTGGTTTATTATTTTATTGAATTTAATGTTTGTAATAATTTTTTTTTTTACCATACTGATATAAAATTCGGTTAAATTTTGAAGGGGCCTGATGGAGGCAGAGGAGAGAAGGGACCAGCTGGAGGACCTGGCCAACAGGTTTGCTCATTCATTCAGATATCAATTCCTCGATCTATCAGTTCATCATATTATCAATTCATTCATTCATCTATATATTCATCAATTCATTCATTCAGCTATGCATTCATCAATTCACCCTCTCATCAATTTATCGATCTACCTATCCATTCATCTATCCATTCATCCATCCATTAATCCATTAATCCATCTATCTATCTATCCCTCTACACACTCATCCGCCTATCTCTCTATCCATCCACATCTTGATCATCTACCAATCTGTCAATCTTTCCAATCATTCAGCATTTCAACACTTATTTCCTTTTGTTATCAAACAATTGTTTAACCCACAAACTTTAAAAATTTGGACAAGTTGCGAAGCCCCATCACCACCAACACCACCACCACCACCACCACCACAACAACAACAACAATAATAATAATTATATTTTAATAATAATTAAAGATAATAATAATAATTAAAAATAATCATAATAAAATAATAACAGGGAGCGCCAGGAGCTAAGGGACCCGCCGGAAACAAAGGGGAAATAGGAGATGCTGTGGGTTTAAAATTTTTTTTTATAATATAATTTATTATTTTTATAATAATTTTTTATGCGTTGTTGTGTGTGTTGTTGTTGTGTGTTATTGTATGTGTTGTGTGTGTGTTGATGCTGTGGTTTTTGTTGTATGTGTTGTGTGTGTATTGTTATGTTTTTTTGTTTATTTTATTATTATTATTTTTATTATTATTAATTTTATTACTATTTTTTATTATTATTGTTATTCTTTATTAGGGAGCTCCTGGCCAACGCGGGCGTGCTGGTTTCGTTGGATCTGATGGACCCGAAGTGAGGAAGAGATGCTGTTGTTATTGACGTTGTTGTTGTTGATGATGATGATAATGATGATGTTGTTGATGTTGATGATGTTGTTGTTGTTTTTGTTGATGATGATGATGTTGTTGTTGTTGTTGATGATAATGATGATGTTGTTGTTGTTGTTGTTGATGATGATAATGATGTTGTTGTTGTTGATGTTGATGATGATGTTGTTGATGTTGATATATCTTCATAACTTAAATATTCATTTCTTAGTATCAATCAATGTGTTATAATTTTGTTGGTTGGACCGTAGGTTATAAATCATTCAGTTCTGTACTTTACAACATCCGTGACGTCATCATTCCACATTCGACGTCATCACTATCGCACACGTGCAAACACACATCACTTTAGGGAATCATGGGCAAACCCGGACCTCCAGGACCATCAAGCTTCTTTGCTATTAAAGGAGAACGAGGAGATCGTGGCAAGCAGGGAGCAAGAGGAAAATCCGGAAGACAGGGAGACGTTGGACCAGCTGGACCCAGTGGAGCTCTCGGACAAGCTGGTACGCCTGTAAGTAATTGGAGAATTATTTCTGCTGATGGTTTCTTTTGGGTTCTGTTGTAAAAAAATTATTTCCAGTTTGTTTTGATATTTCATGGTAGATACCATTTCGTACAAACAAAGTTTATCTAAGATAAGGTATTAATAAAATTGATTTTCAATTGTTATAGTTCATAAAATGTTGTCATCTGATTTGTTTGGCAGGGGAAAGCTGGAAGTGCTGGAGAGAAGGGTGTGCCAGGAGATGATGGACCACAGGTCAGTACATCATCGTCGTCGTCTTCTTCATCATCCTTTCCATTGTCATTATCATTATCGTCGTCGTCATCATCACTGTTTTCGTTACCATCATCTTACTTGCAATCTTTGTCGTTGTCATTATCATGGTATTTTGTTTACCCCTGTCATGTTCAATATTATTTTTTAAACAATTTTTTCAAACAATATTCATTATTGCCGATTACAATCATCTCATCATAAAAATTGTTATCATCAGGTAATTACAATTTTAACTTTTTTGAAATTAAAAACTACTCTTGACATACAAATAAGTAACTGTGACGAACATGAACCCCTACTGCAGGGACTTTCAGGTCCACAAGGACCACAAGGACATCGCGGCAAATCTGGAGAGGAAGGAAAAGCAGGAGCACCCGGTCGCCCCGGGTATGCTGGAGCTCCAGGACCAGTTGGTGAGGCTGGACCCGCCGGATTGACCGGTGACGCTGGTGCCCCAGGAATCAAGGGACCACAAGGACCGTCCGGGCCTGTTGGACCAACTGGTCCCGATGGAGCCAGGGTACGTTCGCTTCATTTCTTTTGAAATTCATGTTTTGACATTTTATATTTTTGTAACATTTTCTGTAATATTTTAAATTAAATACTATCATTCATTTGTTTGCACTTTTATGTGCAGTTAGTGGATCATGAATTCAACAAAAAAATATTTACTAATTTGTTATAAGTTTTTAGAATGTACTATTGATTGAAATGATTGCAGGGTGATAGTGGAGAGGCAGGAGCAGTCGGAGCCCCAGGAGCTGCGGGACCAGCCGGCGAGAACGGTCACGATGGTGCCCGAGGAGATAGAGGAGAGGCTGGTCCAACTGTAAGAGAAAATTGTTTCATGTTCTATTGGTGTTGTTCTTGTTATTCATCGTTGATTGAATGTCTGTGGTGCTAAATATGATAACGGTATCGACTGCATGTCAAATTTAATTTTTTAAATGTCGATTAATATTTTCTAACAGCACAATCCCATGTGAAATATGCACTTCATGTTCATAACTTTTGCCTTTTCTTGATGATCCTACTCTTCTCCGTCTTGTTACTTCGTTAGTTTTATCTAGGATTGATTATTGTAACTCGCTCTACTATGGTCTTCCTGACTTTATACTCTATCCTTTAAGTAAAACTTTTAACTCTGCTGCTCGTCTAGTTGCTCGTGCCCCTTTCTTTTCTCATATATCTCCATATCTTGTTCTCTTGCACTGGCTACCTAAAAAATATAGAATAATTTTTAAAATTTGCACGTTCATGTATAAGTCTCAATCTAAATTATTTCCTAAGTATTTATCAGATATATTAATTGAACCTAACCGCCCCGGTTTACGATCGTTTTCTTCTTCTCGCTTTTTCTTAACTCGTGTTAAACACTCTTTTGCCAAATCTGCTTTTGCTTTTTTTGGTCCTTTTTTCTGGAACTCTCTACCTACTTCTCTGACTACTTCTCCATCACTTGCGAAGTTCAGAGCGGATCTCAAAACCCATCTGTTTTCAAAATTCATTGAGGAGCGCTGTTGAACATCGCGGAAATAGCGCTTTATAAGCTAATTGATTGATTGATTGATTGATTGACTCAACGTCAAAATTCTTTTTTGTTAGAAGATTGAACTGATTACATTTGAACGTTGACAGGGAGAGGCAGGACCCGAGGGAGCTCCGGGCCCGAAAGGTGAGAAGGGACCGATGGGACCAGCTGGTGCCCGCGGTGAATCTGGAGTGGCTGGATCACCTGGACCAAGAGTCTATATCATTTTGTTTTTATAAATTTTAAAGCGTAATAATTTATTCATAGGATTTTCTTTTTTATAATAAAATCTTAATTATTATTTTGTAACGGCATTGTTAGCTACGACGGCATGAACAAATAACAGTTCAATTGTTTTCGTCTCGGAACAGGGAGAGGTGGGACTGCCCGGACCACAGGGAGCAAAGGGAGAGAGAGGAGCAAAAGGAGTGGTAGGAGAGGTGGGCCCAACCGGAATGCCAGGAGAGCGTGGTGCTGAGGTGATGTTGTTTCTCTACTCGTTACAAAACAAACATTCAGTAATAAAAAAATGAGTTTGGCCATTTTATTGAAAGTAATAACATCGTTTTTGATAATTATTAAAACGAACATTTATGGAAAGTTATATTAGCTCTAAAATACTGAAATCATGAATTTATGACAGGGTGCGCCAGGGAAAGATGGACGACCAGGAGCCCCCGGTCACCCAGGAGAGAGAGGTGCCCCTGGACCAGTTGGACCTGCTGGAGCTCCAGGCGCTCCGGGACAACAGGTTCGTCCTTCATCATTTTTGTAATAAATGTGATTTAAATTTTGTGACACGTAAATATCAAATGTTCTTCGTTGTTACTGCAAATGTTTTTTATGGCGTCAAATTATTTAAAAATGTTTCATGTTGAACATTCGCAGGGACACCGTGGCGCTCCAGGTGCCGCTGGATCACAAGGGGAACGTGGAGATAAGGTTGATACCTCTTCATTTCTGTTTCATACCTTTTGGTGGCGTGTTTCTTTACATCAGTTTTGCTTGTTTGTTTCTTACTTTCTGTTTAATAAATTGCGTCATGTTGGTACTTCTTCATCTGTTCCTGTCTCTTATTTTCTGACAGGTTCGTGTTCAGCACTTTATTTTTGCTCATTTTTCTGTTCGTGTGTTTGCTTCTGTTTGGGGTATAACAATAAAAATTTTCTGACTTGTGTCAACTCGTATGCTTGTGATTTGTTCTCCTTTTGAAATTTTATAAAAGAAAATTCGGCTTAGAGTCACTGGCATGTAAAATGAGGAGCGACAGAAACCACTTATTAAAGATAGCGGTCATCAATGAACAAATTAGTTGAACAACTAAATAATTATTAGAATATTATTAAAGATAATAATAATTATTAAAAGTAATAATTTGCATTTGAAACCAGGGAGAAATGGGACCGATGGGATTCACTGGAGCCGCCGGACCAGCCGGACCTGCAGTTAGTCATTTAAAAAAATGTTACGAAATGTTGTTGATGTGATGATGTATTTTGAAGTAACCAACGCTATTCATTTGACGTACCATCAACTATTATCATTAATGATGTATCTCTATAAATGTAACACGTCAATATTGATGTCATGTGTTTAATGCAACAATCAACGGTGTAAGACTAAAAATTTAACAACAGCCACCAACCACAACCATCACCTACCTGCAACACATACAACCATCACCACTTACGACCACCACCACCTACCTCTACCTACCTCTACCACTACCTACCACTACCTGCTACTACTACAGGGTGCCCCCGGTGCTCCAGGCAGCAAGGGTGGACGTGGGCAGAAAGGAGCTAAAGTGAGTGTTATGGTGATGCCGGCGATCGTGTATAACGATTATGATTATACTCAGTTTGATTGTAATTATGGTTAATTAATAATGGAAGCAGACAACAATTGTCAATTCATAAGGAAAATTATTATTATGATCGTATTGATAATAATAACGATGACCATGATGAGGATAACGCTAATGATGATGATAACAATGACGATGATGACGACGATTATGATGATGATGGCGACGACGATGATGATGATGATTGCAGGGAGATAGAGGATGGCCAGGAGTTGCTGGGCACGTCGGATTTGCCGGACCCGCTGTAAGTTTGTTTGAATTTTTTTTTGTAAGATTTTGTAAGATTTTGTGGTGTTGATATGTAGATAGGTGGGTTCTTTCGTAGCTTATGACGTCACTGATGTTAATAGCGTGCAATTAACATTAATTTATGTTAATTAATGCGCAGTTTTTGAATTTTGTAATTCAAAACCATTTTTAACATTGGTGTACTCTTATTAAATAAACTTTGTGGTAAATTTTGCCCGAACTATCATTATAATTTAAAAATTATTTTAATAATTATAAATAACAAATTATAATTAATATAATTATAATTTTTTATAAACCTTCAAGGGTGACGTAGGCATTCCAGGACCACAAGGACCAACCGGACCTGACGGAGCCAGGGTCCGTATTTTTTTTTTTAAACTTTTAATTCATAAAAATTAAATTAGGCGCAAAAGTAGGTGTGATGAGGGTTACATTCTAAGAGCCCCTAAATTTAAAGTCAACCGATTTAATTAATTATAATTAATGATAATTAATTATAAATTATTCAATAATTTGATCAATTGCAATTAGTCATCGGTAATTGTTAGCATTCGTTGTTCGCTAATTGGAGCCATGCATCTGTTGATATAATAATATCAAATAAAGGAATAATTGAATGAATAAAAATGTAACACACATAAATAAATAAATAATAATAATAAATAAATAAAAAATAAAATAAAGCTGATAGTAGTAGTGATAGTAGATAGTATGATGACGACCATAGTAATTTGAATTATGATGATGGTAATATGATTATAACAATGGTAATAATAATAATAATAATAATGATAATAATAATAATTATTATTATTATTATGACGTAATCAGGGAGAGCCAGGTGCTCGCGGAGCTCCGGGACCAGCTGGACACGATGGGGCTCAAGGCGCTCCAGGAAGAATGGTAATGATGATGATGTTGTTGATGATAATGATGATGATGATGATGTCGATGATGATGATGATGATGTCGATGATGATGGTGTTGTTGATAATTGTGATAAAATTTCCTAATTATTTTTATAATTAATAATAATAATTATTATTATTATTAAATAATAACGTTACTGAAATAATTTGTTTTAAAATTTTTTCTGTAGGGACCATCAGGACCCCAGGGCAAGCCAGGGAGATCCGTGAGTGGATGATGATGGAGACGATGATGGAGACGATGATGGAGACGATGATGTTGTTGCAGTTGACGCTGTTGTTTCTGCTGTTGCTGCTGATGTTGTTGTTAATGATGATGGTGTTGTTGTTGTTATTGATGGTGATGCAACTGATGCTTTTGTTGTGGTTGTTGCTGTAGTTGTTGTTGTAGTTGTTAATGATGACGATGGTGGTAAAGATGGTAAAAATTTTTTTGCTGTGCAGGGACCTCCAGGACCCGCCGGGCCAGCCGGACCCCCCGTAAGTTATTATTTTGTCATCACCCATTGTTATTATTATTATTTTTTTTATTAGTAGTAGTTGTGACAGTGGTAATAGTAGTTGTTGCAGTGTATTAATACTATTAGTAGTATTGTAATTGTTATTATTATTGTCGTCATCGTTATCATCATCATCACCATCACCACCACCACCACCACCACCACCACCATCATCATCATCATCATCATCGTGATTTTCGTATTTGGTATCATAATGGAACGTTTTAAATTCATTCCTTCAAGATCATTCGTCGTATATGTTTGTTATTGTTGTTTTTTTTTATATAATTATGTTTGCATTTTTTGTTGTAGTGAGTGGACTGTTATTTTTACTTTATAGAAATTGCTATTTTTGATTTCTAGGGCCAGCCAGCTCAGCCAACCTTGGATTTCTCAGGACCCGCTGTTAGCAACAAAGGACCAGATGCCTTCTACGTATGTTGTTGTTGTTGTCCTAGTTGTTGTCGTATTTGTTGTAGTTGTTGTGTTGTTGTTTTTGTTGCCATTGTTGTCGTAGTTGTTATAAACGTTGTTGCTGCTGTTGTTGATGTTGTGTTGTTGTATTGAAAATGTCATCAAGAAATAGCCAAACTCTTTCCACATGTGTTGCTGTTGTTACCTTTATTGTATTTTTTTGTTGTTTCAATCTTTTTGCTGATGTGATGACAAAATTTTAGGTGAAATATTTTAGCCAGACTTTTGAAATCAAATATTTTTCTACCAGAGTGACGAAGGTGTTGTGCCCGCTTCATTGGAAGATATCAAGGTCCGTGCCATTCCATCATCGCCACTGAATGACGTCATATTCACGACATTGTTCATTTCATATCATTTTATTATTATTATTTGTTTTTCATTTCAAGTTCAGAATAACGTAACAATTACAATTTTTTTTCACTTTTGAAACTCTCACCGCATTCAACAGCCTTTCATTTTAGAAATGTATATACTTTAACGTTTTTAAACATCTACATTCACTCGATAATGATTAACTAAAATTCGTTCTCCCAATTGAAATACTTATAAATTTCCCTCATCCAAACACCAATGACTTACAGAACGACGTCAAATTGAGAGGAATCATTGAGACAATCACAGAAAAAGTATCAGTTGTTGATGAATCATTAGGAACGCAGGAATCTCCCGCCAAGACATGCAGACATCTTGCAGCTTCCAAACCCACTTTGCCTAGTGGTTCGTATGAATGAGTCGCTATTGACTATGTTTCGTTGTTTAGTACGGTTTTTATGCATCGCTTGTTGTCTGACAACCAACCAACCAACCATCCAACCAACCATTCAACCGACCGACCGACCGACCGACCGACCGATCGATCGACCGACCGACCGATCAACCAGTCAACCATCTAACCGACCGACCGACTGACCAACCAATCAACTATCCAACCAACCAACCATCCAACCAACCATCCAACCGACCGACCGACCGACCGACCGACCGACCGACCGACCAACCAACCAACCAACCAATCAACCAGGTTACTACTGGGTGGATCCCAACAGAGGAGATCCCTCCGATGCCATCCAGGTCTACTGCGACATGCAGACATCTGAGACCTGCATCTCAGCCGCTCCTGAGTCTGTTAGTGGTGGTGACGATGATGATGTAGGATGCTGCAGCTGATGAGGATGTGAAATGATGATGATGTGGGATGGTGATGATGAAGATGTGGGATGATGATGAGGATGTGGTATGGTGAAGGTGTGGGATGGTGATGATGGTGAGGATGTGGGATGGTGATGATGATGAGGAGGAGGATATGAGATGCTGATGCTGATTAAGACTATTTTTCAATATGTTTCAGAATTTTTTATTTCGATTTTTTTTCCAGTTTGAGAGGACGATGTACATGTCTGGAAGAAGGAAGGACACGTGGTTCAGTGAGATGAGGATGGGATCGACTGTACGTAATGATAGTGTTCATTAATGGTGTTGTTGATGTTGTTATTGATGTTGTTTTGTTAACAGTATAGATTTGTTATTGTTATTTCATTGTTTAGTACGGCTTTTATGCATCGCTATAAACTGAAAAACATCCAACGTTATGTTATTTGTTATTATATATTGTATAATAAATGACACCTTTTCTGTCACGAACACGACACAGTTCAGCTACAAGATCGAGAGGTCGCAACTTTCCCAACTGCAACTTTACAGCACGAAGGCTCAGCAAACCATCACCTACCACTGCAAAAACGCCATCGCTTACGAAGATGCCAGGACTTCCAGCCTGGACAGGGCCCTCAAGTTCCTCACATCCACTGAACGTGAAATCACAGCCGACACCAAGAGGAACGGATACACCGTCAGCTTGGATGAATGCAAGGTATGGAATAAATTTTTTTTTTTCTATTTTGCTTGCATTTTTGTGTCAATGTTTTTTTTGTGTGCTTTGTATTTATTTTTCATGTTTTTATTGATCGTATAAAGTGTCTTGTTTATTTATCTGCTCTTTCGTTAATGTACTGAAATGCTCGATAATTTTGCGAATTGTCTGAAAAAAAACGTCTGCACTTTAATTTGTTATCGTTTAATTAAATGTATTTTAGATTAATTTAATGATAATGAAATTAATTAGAGTTATTTCAACTTCTCAACAGGACCGCACACCCAGCTGGGGCAAGACAGTCTTCGAATTCGTCAGCAGCGAACCTGAACGCCTGCCAATCGAAGACCTCTCACCCTCCGACATGGGAAGCCAGAACCAAGCTTTCGGTATCGATGTCGGCAGAGTCTGCTTCTCGTAAAATAATTTAAATATAAATTAATTAAATAATTATGCTAATTATGATGTTTAATTATTTTAAGCGGTGGTTTATAATTTTTGGCTGGTGACTTTGCTGCGATAATTATGATGATGTTGAGATGATGGTGAAGTTCTAATAAATTAATAAAATATCTACCAAATCGTGGTGATGGTGATTTGTGAGTTGAAAATTTTGTGTTCATCGTTTGGGTGGTTGTATGCGTGTGTGGCGTGTATAAGAGTGGCAAATAAAAGAATGGACATGTTTGCATTCGTCGGGTTGGTTTTAATTGACGAGGTTAAACATGGACAGCCGTGCCTTGGTGGTGTTGTTATTTGGTTGTTGTTATTTTTATACTGGTCACAATATGCGTTTAAAAAAATGAAGGACAATCTGCTGTCTTTTAATAATGAATAAATTAATAAATAAATTAATTAATTAATGAATGAATGAACCGTACTTGGTTAGAAGATGTTCATTATACGGTTTTGAATTGATTAAAAAATAGAGAATGTTCAAATACACGATATACACATGATCATCTTGTCAATTTGTTTTTCATTTTTCTCTTTTGAAATTAAATTTGTTAAATCTTATTGTACTTAAAAGAACATTAGGATACATGGAAAACAATAAATAGGAATATGAAGGATTGTTCGACGCGTAATGGGATCGACGTTCAGTTATCAAACGCTCAAAAAATAAGAAAGTTATAAAATGAAAATGTTAAATTAAATAAAACCACTCTACATGCTTTCAGATATCTTATACGCAAAATGATTTATTGCAATTTTCATAATAGAATATTATAAAATCATTTAAGTAGTAAGTATTAAAATCACCAGACTAGCCTTATAAAGCTAAACGTTAAAAATTAAATAATTTGAGAAAATATTAAGAAACTTGAATTTATAGAAAAAATAATAATGTTTTTGTTACATGGTATGGTTACATTGGAGTCAGGTATGAGATAAAACACGGGATACTCCTGAGACATCACAAAAATAAATGAGGTCCGGATTTTTATACAATGTTTAAAGATGCGGTTAAACAGAATAACAGGTCACCAATAACTTTGTGACAAAAAAAGTTGCCCTTGTCCTTCGATTTCTGAAGTTATTTGGGAAACCCCACCCTTTTGACGCTCCAGGCTTCCATATTTCTAAATCCGGTTCTGCCTTACACGATTTGGAAGCATAAATAATCCGGACAATCAATACAAAAATTGTCTAAAACATGTGTTTAGGAAATTGAACAATCTCATATCAACTAATTTAAATTTTTTGTTGTAAATATACATATAAAAATTTTTGTTCATAATATCATATTTTTAAAAATATCCTTGTTAATTAAATTTAAATTGTGAGTTGTCTGGTTTGATGTTTTTGATTTGTAAGGCTTGGTATCCTCGCCTGAGTAGTTAGTTATGTGTGATCGCAGTTTTTTGTAGAACACTTAATTTGATCATTACCATAATTACAAACAACTATAATATGTAGATCTAGAAAGATTAGTTTGTAACGATGTAAAATATAATGAACACAATGAACACGAAATTTTAATTTAACGTTATTATCAAAAAAATTAACAAACTACTTTCAACTAATTTAACATATCAGTATCACAATAATTTAAGAGAAAAAGCATTAGACTAGAAAGTTTTGGTTGACAATACAGAAGTTGGAAGAACAATTTGTTTTTGATGACTTGTCGTCAGAGATAATTCGGACTTGGACCGAGTTGCGTTCGAAGCTGGTACCTTTGAACCTGATGTTGCATGCGTTGACACTCCAACTCCCGATCTTCCTCCTCTTGTTCCTTTTGAGGCTGCTAACGTTGTTCCGGCTTTCCTCTTATTTTTTGCTTCTTGGCTTTCTTATAACGATTGGTGAGGGGTGTGTATATGTGGATCTACATATGTGCGTGGTAGTATGTGATAGTGTGTGCTTGCATATGTGGATCTATGATGCTTGTGTTTCTCAATGTTTTACTTCATTCGCTAGTTTCTATGTTGAAATATTTTTTTTATTTCAAGTACTTTACTCTTATTTAAGGCGTTATTTATAAATTAAATATAACCAAATTACATCTCTGCACAATCATAATAGTTTGACAGTTTCGAACTTTTGAAATCCTTTGAAATCAGTACTTTACCTATATCAATGCGCAAGCACTCTTTATTTTTTGGAATTATAAACAATAAAATGTTTGTAAAATGTACATATATTCATATGGTTGTTTGAATATATAGAAATGAAAAATTGACAACACAACATTTCAGGGTTGTAACAAACTTCTGTAGAGCAGGGCCCCTACGCAAACTACCCCAGCGCCGAACAGGAAGCTAACGCCAATTTTAGCGTAAGGATATTTGCTTGAGGATTCCTTCGCAACTTTCAATAATTTTGTTCAGCGAAAATTAATTACGCAAAACATTCACATTATTATAAACATTAAAACCAAAAAAGGCAATATAAGCGCAGAAGAAAACAACCAAACAAGTATACATAATATATTGTATAGTGTATATATATATATATATATGTATAAATTATATATATATATAAATTATATATATATATAAATTATATATATATATATATACTGATATATATTGTGGAAAGATACCATATCTTATACAGCATTGTATAAATCCTACCAATTTGTAGGTATTAACCAATTTAAAGTGTGTTTTTTCTATCTTCCTTACCAGAATTATATATGTATACATAGTGGTAAATGACTATAATTAATGCAATGATTCTGTAGATTTCATAAATTGCTGCATGTATATATACACATATATAGGTACATATGTGTTGAAATCTATTGGTTGCTACCGCCACAATTGTGTCGGCGTCAAAGAGATACTTTTCAAGTTTTGGCTCTTTCACCGAGTATCTAATTTAATACCACCGATACTTCTCAAACATAAAAACATTGATAGCTGATTGCTAATAGTTTCAATCATTAATCAGATGTGGCTTCATTAACGAATATTTCAATGTTGAAAGTGTTTTCAAAATCAGAAACTTGCCATCTAAATTGGTCTGTCGTTTTTCGCCTTTTTCATTAAATACACCTTATTTGCGTTGTCCATTATATGCTAAACAGCTTGAATGTTATCTTTTTCAAAATTTTTGTAATTATACTCCGATGAAAGTTTGGCGTGCAGGCAGAGAGCAGGAAGAGCAAGAAGACGACAAACAACCAAGTTAGATTAAACTGTTCCTCAATTTTTATTCCTTTTTTACCGTGTTGTACTCTCTTTGCTTGAAAGGAATAACCATTTTTTTAATAGTTGTCAGGTAAGTTGGAGATGATTGTCAGAGCCAGCGACCGCAAAGTTTCCACGAAAGTATAAATTATTTAATTTGTAACATAACGCGTTGGAGAGCAGTTATGAAACGTTTAACGAGTCGTTTGATGTATTTCATAACTAACCTTGTACTTTAGTTGTTACTGTATTCACGTTTTAAATCAAATTAACCTTCAAATTTAATTCAATTCAATTCAATTAGCCCATCAAATATTGACCAACCTTCAGTGCTTACCGAGATATCTGCAAGGGATTAATTGAAATGTTGAATTCAATTCTTTGTGTGTGTATGTGTGTGTGTGTATGAGAGAGTGAGAAGAGAGAGGAAGAGAGTGAGAGAGAGAGAAAGAGAGAGAGGAAGAGAGTGAGAGAGAGAGAGTAAATCAACCAATTTATTTTACGTGCTCACAATATAATTCGCATTATTTCTATTGCTTCCTTACTAAATTACCACTACAATCACATCAAAACTTAACGTACTCTGCTTGTCAACCTCTTCATTTTCTTTGTTACCTGTCAAATTATCAAAATTTCGTCAAAAATTTGTGAAAAATTTGAAAATGTTTTGTATGTTGTAATGTATTATAGAAGCCTGAAACTTTTTACAAAGAAAAGATTTCTCAAAACTTGCAAAAATGAAATTTAACAAACCACCTAAAGTTCACTGACCATCGACAACAACAAACAATCAACACAATCAACAACAAACAAATAAACTCAGCAATTAACCATATGGAATAATTTTAACTTTGACAAATGTTCTCTCTGAAGTTGCTAAACTTCGATTTTCGTTATGATTTTCACAGTTAATTTTGTAGTCTCCCACCAAGTAGAAGACAATTACGTTGCCGGTTATCCTGTACATTTGTACATTTATGATGGGTGGTGTGAAAAGAAGTTGGATGTTTATCTTGAACTGGCTGGGCAGAGGTTGGTCTGCTGCTATGCATTTCACCGGCTCGTATAATGTAGCGATCATTTTATCAACTTTCGTGTCGTTCACGCTCTCTAAAAATGTTAAAGTTATTTATTTCGGAGATTAGTTATGGTAGATTATGAAAAATGCTACAAGCCTTTCAAATTGTGATACTGCATACAATTTTTTTAAAATTTCAAGTGGTGTTTTTATTTGAACGGGATCGTTGTTGGAGGTGAAGTGTTATATAGTGAGCAATAAATTTTTAAGTCATGTTCACGGCCCTCGATTAATGGAGAATACGGAAGAACCTTGGCAAGAGGTTTTAGTTTCTTTCTTTTTTTCACTTTTCTCTGTTCTGCTGAGCTAGTTTCAACGCTTGAATGTTTAATATTTCTCCCCACTTTTTCATTGTTCTTTCCTTCACCTGGTGATGTATCCGGTGCCAGCACAGTAGCCTCGATAGTTTCTGGTGAAGCAATTTCGTTCGTAATTTCACTGGAAATCTCTTTCAATAACAAATCTTCCCCATCACTTAAATATTTTCTACCAGCTGACTGTTTTTTAGTTTGAGAATCATTTGCTGAGGTTGTTTTTTGATCGGATGTACCTGGAATAAATACTTTTGGCTCTTTATTTATCACTTCTGTGGCAACAGTTATAAAGTTAAATGGATGTCATTCTTTGTCATCCACACATTCATCATCCTTTTTACCGATAATTTCTGAACATTTCTCAGTTGTGCTCAATACCTTCTCAAAAGTGCTTGGATATACTAAAGAAATTAACTCCTACGTTTATTATGTAATTGAGTCTAGGTCTTTTAGTAAACTCTTTTCCAAATTAAAAACTGTAAAAAGTAATTTAATTTCTAATATCTTACGTATATCTTCTTCACCGTAGATCAAACAATAAGAAATAATTAAATGTAGTAGATACATCATTTATGAAAAAAATAACACTAGTCTTAAAGTTGTTTATAAACAAACGATCCTAACTTATGAACGTCACAGTGACTGAATAATAAAATTTCTTCTTCAAATTCTTTATTTAAACAATTCTCAGTGAAGAGTCGACGAGAATGATGACACAACGTCAGTGGCGGTTCTAGAGAGGGGTTCCATCAGCAGAAAAGTTGCCCCCCGTCAAAATAATGGCCGCCCCCGTGAGCACAAGACAATTATTTCGAAAAAAATTTGCAAAAATTCTTCTACGGTCACACCAAGTTTTGTGTGAATTTCCTGCCTACCTCGGTCATCGACTTTTATTTCCCCCAGTTAAAAGATTTTGTTGAAACCTCCCCCAGTCATCAAGATTTTGTTGAAAAATCCCCCCTCCCCGATATTTGACGTTTAGAAAATCCCCCTCAGCCGACCACCCGCCACTGCCCAACGTGACGTGTGGTCATGTTAATATTGAATTATGTGAGGCATTTTAAGTGGAGGTTGAAAAATTGTAACTGCTGACTTAGCCACGGTAATCACGATGAAGATGTGATGTTGAGAGGCTGATAAATTTAAATAATTTAATAGAAATACCCACAAAATCATGACGATGTCGGTTAAAAATTGTGCGTCGGAATGATTGTGTGATCGTGTGTATTGAGGGTGGTTTAATGATCAACAGTGGCAGATCTAACGAGAAGCCACTTTGTTAACTTCTTAGCCCCCTGTTAAATTTCAACATTTTTACAAATTTGGCCCCTTGGCCTAAATGATTAAGACACCTGGTGATACTGCAGTTGCTCTGGATGGGTTCTAATTCCGAGAGTTTCCCGCCTACCACGTGCGTGTCAGTGAGATGCGTTGATGTGTGCGTATCTACTCGTGCGTTGCGGGGCGTTGTTGATGCTTCTTGCTTATTGTAGAATTATATGAAACCGGCATATTTAAGTTTCTTGAGTTTAACAAACTAACAGGAGATAAAATTTTTTTTGATAATCTCAGATTTGAAGAAAAGAATTATAATTGATATCGATAGTTTGATAGCTGAAATGATTACAAACTGTCGATTATGTTTAAACGATGTTTTATTACATCTTCGTCCATTTCGTTTCGTCATTTGTTTTTTTACATCGTAACTATGAAATTAAGTTTGTCAAATGATACCATTTACTTGCCTTAGAAGGACAATTAAAAACATAATGAAAATAATTAAAAACTTAAATATTTATTCATAACAAGTAATGAGAATCCAAATTGAATTCCCTTTCCGTCACTCATCCAAACGAAATTAAAAAAGAAACCGTAATATTATGAAACTACTAGCCTGAATATTATCAGGGTCGACATTGTTTTCAGGGTCAATATTCATTATGTCTTAATAATATTCATCATCATTTTATTTGGAATCATAGTATCAATCAACAATTATAGAACTATAAAAGTGTCGGATTATTATTATCTAGCTTCATAAAGCAATTAACACTAATAATAACAAAGTCACTTTAGAAAGGAACGTGAAACATTTATAACGACTTGTAATAAATTTGTCAGATCTTTCTTGTGTAGAAGGACAATTTTTGAGAGTAAAAATATACTTGATCATTAAGGATATTAACAAACCTTCAGCATTGTAATAATAAATTATCTCAACAAGTTTAATGGGATGGAATAAATCCAATACAGTGAATCAATTTCATTTATTTATTTATCGGCTTACAAAGATGAGAACAATTTTTTTTAATATTTTATTATATTCATCCATTCTTTTATTAAAAGCCAACACTTTCTTATGTACTGCTTAATATTCAGACTATAAACCTTTGAGCTAAGAAGCCAACCGACCGATCGTAAATTAATTCACAAAGTGTTAAATTCAACGGGTGCAATAAAAGTGTCGGGCCGTGATTTATTTTGTGATTGTAAATTAATTTCCATCATCTGAGTACAGTCTTGCTTGAAGCAATTTTAGTATATTGAAAAAAATATTTTCAAAACTAAAAAAAAAATAATTTATGAAAATTTGTTGAGGCTATTAATTGTGTTTTTTTACATTTGTTTCATTCGGACAATTTAATTTAAAATAACGTCATTGTAAATGTAAAATTAATAATTTGCACACCCCAAAAAAAGAGTGAACAAAAAGGAGACCAAAAAATAATACACTCTTGATAAAATCAGTCCCGACGTAACATTTCAAATTATTTCCCCTACATAACAAAAAAAAAATCAGTAAAATATTTAAACAGACTAATAATATTAAAAGTTATAACGAAAAAATAAACACAATATATATATATATATTTGTTAATGTTACAAAAACAAAACAAAATATTAAAAAAAACAAGCAAAAAACAAAAATCATTAAAATCAAAAGCTAAGTCAAACAATCGATCAAACAAATAAGTGTGTATAATTCACATCATACTTGGGTCAGCATGTATATACGCATATTTTGATATGTCAGCAGACATAAAAAAACACATAATAGTTACCATAAAAAATAGACATGCAAATAAAAAATTGCTGGTAATTAGATAATTGAATTGGGAAAAATTGGAAAAAAATATTTAAATTATTAAGCAGGCAAAAAATAAAGCATAAAGAATAAATAGTTAAAACCATGTAAAGTAATAGAAAACATTTTAAAAACTATTAAAAACATTATTTTACATGACATCGAAATATGAAAAAGGAATCGTTCTTGGTTTAAAAAGTAGAACAGCAAAAAAATTAAATATTAAAAAAACAACATAAAAGTGCAAATGATCAAACTATTTTAAAAACAAAATCAAATATTTTAAACAGTACAGGATACAAAGGTCCAGACAGTATAAAAAGACACGTATGACCAACATACACAGCCAAAATACCTACTGACCAATTCAGATGGAACAGAAAACCTGCCTCATGTTAAACATAAGAGAAAATTTTTTAATTTGTATTTAAACGGCATATAAGGAATGATTGAATAAAAAACTGTTCTATTTTGAGATTCTATAATAAAAAATATTTCTATTTGACATTGTATTTTTAATTGATTTATCTTTCAGCAGTATGTACCAACTTATCATCCTGAGATTGTTTAACAAAAGATTCTAGCAAGTACCTTTTTTTCAAATTTTGTCTATGAATTGGCAATTAATGTTTAAATTTTTATGAACGATTTAAAATTATTTAATTTGTAAATAGTTAAAATTCTTAATTTGTAAAAAACTATTGATATTTTTTTTTCTATAAAAAATAATTTTAAGCACTCTTTTTCCAAAACATATATTATTTTCTGATTGAAGAAAGAATGCTTGTAATAGCAGCGCGACTATTTTTTAAAATATTAATATTATTAAATTTTATAAACAAATGTTTTGTTATTACTGTTTTTATTTTGTATCTATAATGATAACAACATGCAAACAAATGAACAAATAAACCAATGAATAAAAGAACGAACGAATAAATAAATAAATAATTAAAGATATAAAAATTAATGAGAAAAATTTAGAGTTAGCTTATTCTCAATTAATATTTTGACTTTTATTTGTATAACATTAATTATTATATTAGTCTTAATCGAAATTTTTATTTATTTGCTCAATTCAGATTCCTTGGCAGAACTTACCTAACCTAACATCTTGCTGTTTATATTTGAATGTGTCTATTGATTTTTTATTTTAATTTTTCAAACATGCAATTATTTTTCAAGTAAATATTTTCGCTTTTATTTGTTAATTAGTAATCCAATAGAAATTAAAATTGATAAAAAAGACAATTCAAATTTAATGAGTTTTTGATAGCTTGTTTGGTCGGTATGTCCTCAACTAATAGGGAGGCCTTTCTAAGTGTCTGCTTATCACAATTGGAGTACCTCAGGTGAGCAATGTTGGTCCATTAATTTTTATCTTGTTCGTTAATGATATCGTTATTTTTGATGGTTCCACTAATTTAATTATGCACGCATTTGAATGTTCTTTCTATTTTGCCGATGGAAATATTGATGAATTTAAATTTTTGGTCAGTTTCAAATAAAATTAGCATCAACCTATTTAAGACAAAATGTATGTATGATTCTTTGGAGTAGGCAAAATAATAAGAAGGAATTAGACCCCAAGCAGAGAAGATTTTTTCTAACCGCAACCACCAAAATCCGTACTGCTCATTATTCGCATCTGCACCGCACCCGCGAAATGACAACCTAAATAAGCCTTTGAGGATAAATATTTATGTATGATGCATGTAAGTCAGAGGTGGGCACAATTTTATCCGGCTTAATTAAATAAAACTTGATTGATTTGTTTCATTTCATATTTCATATTTATTTGTTTGTTTGTTTGTACGTTTGTTTGTTTGTTTGTTTGTATGTTTGTTTGTTTGTTTGTTTGTTTGTATGTATGTTTGTATGTATGTTTGTTTGTATGTATGTTTGTTGTTTGGTTAGTTCGTTGGGTTGGTTGGTTGAAAGGTTGATACTTTGGATGTTTGGTTGGTAGATAGGTTGTTTCGATCGTTGGTTGGTTGTTTCGCTGGTAGTCTGCTGTTGTTTTCATTAATGTTGTTTTTGTGTTGTTGACGTGGTTGCTATTGTTGGATAACAAAAATAAGCATAACCCGATGAAACACTCGTGAGATTTCAATGAATAAAAGCCTGTCAAAATTAAACTAATTCATCATCATCATCGTCATCATTGTCGTCATTATCACAATTATCACAAACAACAACAACAACATCATCATCATCCATTCATCCATCCATCCATCCATTCATCCATCCATCCATCCATCTATCCATCCATCCATCCATCCATCCATCCATCCATCCATCCATCTATCCATCCATCCATCCATCCATCCATCCATCCATCCAAGAAGGACTGCTGACGATTGTATTGTATATATTTTCAATTATTCATTCAGACTATAATTTCAATGTTGAATGTATGCGTTCCAACCGGATACAACATTTTTTTTGTTGACAACTTTTTAAATTACTAACGTGACAAAATTTTTTTTTTGGAATTTAATAAAATGATATTCTCTCTAAACAATGACAAAAAAATTACTAAAACAAGATTGACACTTTGTTGCGAAATCGTTGGCAGAAATTATGTCATTTTAATAGTAAAAATGTTGAAATGTACGATGCTGAATTAGCCGGTATAAATATTATATTCGGTTCCTAAAAAATAAATTTTACCAAATATTATATGCACACAAAACTAAATAAATAGTTATTAAAGTCATTTAAATTTTTATACAATTAAATTAAACAATTAAAGTATATAGAATTAAAGAATCCGTTAGTTGAGGTCAATTTAGTATGAGTAGCACTGTTGTCAAGAATGTATATTAGTGTATGACACAATCAAAAATCAATAACGTTAAATCAATAAACATTATACTGATGTAATCTTTCACTCTTTTTTCACTAAACTTTAGTGAAAAAGGAGTGATTTCAATTAGGGATGCACCGGATGCACCGGCCGGGGCCGGACTTGGCCGGATTTAAAATTCAAAAACCGGCCGGAGCCGGGGCCGGTTTTTAGTTACCATTTTACATACGTTAGAAAAAAATACTCACACTTACGGTTATCTACATGTTGAACATCAAAAAATAACACCAAGCAAATAGTCAATTAACTCAAATATATAAATAAGTTGTGTGATAAGCCAAATTCTGTACACAAAGATCAGCTTATAATTTATGGATATTTGCATAACCCAAAGAAAAAGAAAGAAAATTGTCCAGCTCACCGCACAATTAGTGATGTTGCAATGTGTCATGTATACCTAGCCTAACCTTTAACATACCATATTCTTAAGTTATGTGCTTATGTATCTCTCTCTCTATATATATATGTATATATATATATATATGTATATATATATATATATATATATGTAAATGTAACCACATTTATGTATTTATTTCATATCTATGATATTCAATATCTTTGTTATATGTTTGATCTTTGTTTGGGTTTCGATAAATGTGCTTCGATAAATGTGCTGCGATAAATGTGCTGCACCACGTGATTGACATATTATATAATTTATTTGATTTATGAGTTTCGTATGAATAAGCCTGTAATTGATTACTGTTTTACAGGTAT